AGTGAATAGTGCAACCTTCCATCCCCCTTCACACACACACACACACACCAGCAGACCACGTTGTTACTGGGACACAATAGGGCCCATTGTGAGAGCTGGCAGTGTGGGGCAGCGCTGCCCGTTAGGCGTTTGGCTGTGGCTACGTCGTGTGTGTGTGTGTGCACTCGCGGGCCGCTCAAGCATGGGGACAAAAGGGGAAGCGCTGGCCTGCTGCTTCCATCAGCTCGGTTGCCTTTGGAAAAGCCAGAGTCAGAAGGAAGGAGGCTATGACCCAAAGCTCTTCCACTCTCTCCGCTATCACACCCTGCCATATGCTGACCCCAGCAGCCCGGCACTTATCGCTGCCAATCAGCAGCCAGCGGGCCTGCCCCCGCTGTCACGCCAGAGCTGGAACGGTCCCACACACACCACTGGACTGGCACGGCCAATTGGGAAGCCGCTTAGCATGTCCCCTCCTCTCCCCCTGCGTCCCAATCGACCACTGACAGATGGAAGATGGCCGTGACTCTTAGACTTACGTGTTTTTTTTTTCCTTGCAGAGTCCAAGCCAACAACACCCAATCTCCCCCCAGCCAACTCGCAGCCGCGAGCCAGGCGGATCAGATAATGTGGGTTTCTCTTGCCGTGCAATCAGGGCTTGAAGGACCAGATCTAGATCCACTTCATTCCAGGATGCGTTACAAGAAGACTAGCAGCTGTAGCGATCCAGTAGCCTGGGGGTGAGACAGGTCAACTAGCTCTAATCGAAGTGGGGTGTTTAAAACACACACACACTTCCACATATGGCAGCCCAGAACATTTTATCACTCAGACCCAACATGGTGCCCTCAGAGACTAAGGCTGCTTGGAAGGCCCCGAGCTCGGGCTCTTTTTCCACACATGGCCCTTTGGATTACTCCTGTGCTATCTGTGGTTTAACCCTGTTATTTTGTCTGCCCAGCATTCATAACACTGACCCATGCCAGCTACCTGCAGTTTTTTTTCCCCTTTCCCTCCAACAGATATTAAGAGCAAAGAGGCGCCTTTCTCTCCATTCCAGGCCCTAATTTCACAGTCATGCCGAATGAGGGATCAGTGCGTGGGGAGGCAGATGGACGCAGCCCGGGGCCAAGAGAAGGAACTGGAACTTAGAGTCAGGCACAAGAGAGGTTGAGGCGTGTTGGCTTACAGAATGAGAAAAGAGAAGAGATGAAGAGGGGAAAAAAAGTGAGAACAGCGAATTAAAAAGTTTATAAAGTTTCAGGGCAAAAATTAGGGAAAAAAGATGTTTTGACTGCTTGAAAAAGGCATACTGCAGACTTTTTATAAAAGGTCTGCCTTTCTTAAATCTAGATAATTTACCTCACAACACATGTCTCTGCTGAGCTAAAGAGGGGCTACTGTGATCATGCGTCAGCTGGTGCATCATTTGAACATTTCTTAATGAGGACCTCTTTAGCAAGAACAGCACCTGACATTTGCATCCAGACCAAATCTAATTTTGTTTTTCTGTGAAACTAAAGGTGGTAAACTGAGGCTCGGCGTGCAACGCAATTCAGGTGGAAGAAAATGAGTATGATTATACGGATGGAAAAAGACTTGAAAGCCAATGTATTCTTTCCAAGTGTACTTATTTGAACTACTTCCACTTCTTTCAAATTACACAAATCAACTGAGACAGTGTGACTGCAACCAGTGCAGTCCAATTCATCCAATCATTGATTCTTATGATTCAATTCTTTAAGTGAATCAAAAGCATACAGAATGACCATTGTAGCCTAAATCCCAAAACAAAATATTTTATTGATCCGGTTCTTTTAGTGACTTAAATAACATACATTGTATTATACGACCAGTGTAAAGTGAATCCCCAAATGAATGACTCTTATGTGTTGGTTCTTTTAGTGAACCAAAAACAGACATGTAGCCTAAATCCAAAACGATAGACTCTTATGAGTCGGTTCTTCTAATTAAACATACAGCATGAACAATATAGCATATTTAACGAACAAATGAGTCTTAGGAGCTGGTTTTATTAGTGATTCAAAAACACAGTGTAACCAGCATAGCCTGAATCCTGAAATGAACCACTCTTATAAGATGGTTCTTTTAGTGAATCAAAAACATACAGAACTGGCAAAGCAGCACAATTCATGAGCAAATAACACCTATGAACCGGTTCATTTGTTGAATCAAAAACAAAAAACAAAAAACAAAAAAAACAGCACAATTAGTTAATAATTTTTTTTAACTAAACCAAAAAAAGTGTGACCAATGTAACTCGATTCCCAACAGAAACTAAATAATAATGTAATTTATGTGTGTTACTGCATTAGCAGTAGAAAACCTTTCATAAGTAAGCAATTCTAAGAAAAAATTAATTACTACAATATACTCAAATGAATCAGAATTTAACCAAAGTGAATCAAATTTGAGAGCTTGTGAATTGGAATTGAATCAATTTTGGAAAACTATCGATACCCAACCCTAAAATTCTAGATATCTCATAATTTATGACCTTACGATGAGGGTGAGTGGAACGAATTTGATGATGGCTCATGACTAGTTCCTTATGGGGACTGAACCAGCAACTTTACCAGCTCTGCACTTTAACTACTACACCACACCTCCCGTTAGTGATTGATTCAGAGATACGAGGATGCTAGAGGGACAATTAGGCTACATCACTTTCTCTCTCTCGGCAATGACTGCATGTGGCGGCACCATCAACAGGTAAGCAGGAGATACTGTGACTTCCTTCCTTACATCCCTGGGGTCCTCTCAGTCTCACGGCCCGTATTCATTGTAGGAGAGCAGCTCGTCTGGCACATAGATCTTCTAATCACTACTAGCCTGCCATCCATCCCTCACAGTCATCAATTATTGAAACAACAGAATGAAAAGAAGGTGCGAGGGCGCTCAAAGAAAGAGAAAAAAAGAGGGAGGGATAGTTTCAAAATAAAGGGAATCAGACTGAAAGAAAAACAGACCGAGAGAGAAAAGAGAAAGACGGAGAGAGAGAAAAGGTTTGGAGAGACATCCGTCGATAATGACAGATTACTGTAATTCAGGCTGTCAGGAGCATCGACCTGTGCGGCTCACGCCAATCAATAGCTCAGTCCACTATCGAGCTCCGCGCAGGCACACAGATGGGCGAGATTGCTGCGAGCGAAAGACTCAAGCTGAGCCAAACAATCTCTCTGGCTTGGAGGACATGGCAGATGAGAATCGCTTTCCCCCCCTTTTCTCTCTCTCTTTTTCTCCCCTCCTCTCCGACTTCGCTTTGTTTTCTGGAAGTAGCATCTCTTTGAGAAGAAAAGAGCGCTCTTAAAGAAAGGTTAAAGGTCTTTGGTGCCAACGAGACAAGAGAGGCTGGATTTGGACTTGGAAATGTTCGGATACTGAACATTATCTAAAGCATACAGTGGCTGTAATTAGTTAGCAATAACTGTTTATGGACAAAACAAAGCAGACTGTCAAAGTAAAAGAAACTAGATTTTTATAGTGGCACTTGACCATGCAAAAATGATGATGGGTGGTCGGTTGCTAACAAGTTCAAATCCAGGCTGCTTGTCTCATTCTGACCAAAGGCCTTCTTTCTTAAAAATTGCTTTTTTCTTATCAAAATGATGATCCTTTAAGAGTCAAAAGAGCCAACCATCAATAATATTCTGGTCTATAGATATGGCTCAGGTTCATCCTTCAATGTAAAACTATGGGATTTTTCCCACTCTAGCCAGTCCAATCACTTAAAGCAATAGCTAAAGTTTAATACTAAAGGTCCAAATCACTAACCCTAAAACATACTACAAACACTAAAACACACTAACAACCTCGGTAAGCACCACTAATTATTAGAGCTGTCAATTCATTAGATTTAGAAATTGCAATTAATCTCATAATATAATGCAGTGTTAAAAAGGATCAGAATTAGATGAGAAATTAAATCAAAATAGGAACCACAGATTCCCAAAACAATAATACGTAATAAACATTATTGTTCAAAAGTTTGGGGTCAGTAAAATGTTTTTTTTTTTTAATACGTTTGTTCAGCAAGGATGCATTAACTTAATCAAAATTGACAGTAAAGAAATGTATATTGTGCTATTTTAAATATATATATATTATTTTTTTTTATTTTTTTTTACAATATTTGTACAATATGTGTATGTATGTATGTCTTCAAGAAACATTTTTCTTGGATATATATTCAGGATATATATCCTGAAAAATATTCACAATTTCCACACAAATATTAATAATATATAAAAAATGTTTCTTGAAGACCAATATATTACAATAGAAAACAGTTATTTTAATTTGCAATAATATTTCACAATATTACTGTTTTTTTCCATTGTATTTCTGATCAAACTGTTGTCTTTATGTGCAGAAAAGTTTCACATAGGTTTCATTTATAAAAACTGATTTCAGTTAACTTTTTCCACATTAAAGTTGACAGCCCTAATATTACGTAAAGGTAAACAAGCCAAAACTACTACTATTCAATCTTATTTTGAGAGACAATGCAAGTTGTGTTACTTATGTATAATAATAACTTGTATGTATAACAAAAAAGAGGTTGAAAAAGCCTAAAAAAAAGATGAAGTACAACAGCAAAGGTTTAGATCGTGTGACAGAGAAAAAGAGAGACAGAAAAGAACACTAAATTGCCAGAGAAGCATTTCAAAAGCAAATGGCTGTGCATCACGGTTAGCAGGCATTGAGGAGTGATCAGAATGATTCCATCACCCGCCTGACTGGGTGAGCAGAGAGCGGTGCTCTACATGTGCAGAGCTGAGAAATAAGACATCAATAATTATCGAGCGGCTCTACCTGCTCCCATCAGAATCAACCTGACCGCTCACAAGTCAATCCGTACATACGTGAGCCAGGTCTGTATGGCAGGAGGAGAGAGCAGAAAACCAACCAAGCAGGCTGTAACAATGATAATAGGCTTCTGCCACCTTAAACATGACAAAAGTTCACATGTGCACTCGTTAAAGTCTGGAAAAGGATACAAATTTTGGTAAAGAGGGATGAGGGATTTCAGAGCTCTGCTGGCGTTGATGGCCGTGGCTCGCACCACTGTGGGTAAGATAGTTCCATCCACTATGGCTCCATCAAACAAGGGACCAAAGAACGGCACCTGTGGAAAGTGAGATGACATGATATATGAACACTTACCATTAAGGCCTGTGAAGAGCAAAATGTGAGCAGCTCCAAGCAGGAACAAAACACACATTTCAATCAGTATTAAGGCCTATTCACACTCCCATAAGTCCACATTTTCAGCATGAAAAATGTGCATGACAAGATTATAAAATAAAACAATGAATCTCTATAAACTCCTTCACACTGAGTCTGAAATATTGTATTGTGATGGGTCGTTTTTTTTATTCTGATCCATTTTATTTTATACAGTACTTTTTTTAAAAGTTTGGGGCCTTTAAGATATTTTTTTATGTTTTTATTGAAGTCTCTTATGCTGATCAATGCTGCATTTATTTAATCAAAAACACAGAAAAATATTGTGAAATATTAGTACAATTTAAAATAACTTTTTTATTGGAATATATTCTGAAATGTAATATATTCCCATGATCAAAGCTGAATTTTCAGCATTATTACCCCAGTCATAACTTCAGAAATCATTCTAATATGCTGATTTGATGCTCAAGAAACATTTCTTTTTATTCAGTGTTGAAATCATTGCTGCATAATATTTTTGTGGAAACCATGATACATTTTCAGGATTCTTTGATGAACAGAAAGTCTAAAAGAACAGCATTTATTTGAATTTTTTTGTAACATTATAAAGGTATTGATTTATACTTATATAAACAGAATGTGTCTTTGCTGAATAAAAGTATTAATTTCTTTCAAAATAACTATCTTATCGACCCCAAACTCTAGAACGGTAGTGAATTTTAATTTTTTTCAGATAAAGAAAATTATATTCAGGTAAACCTTTGTTTTCAGAATGAATAGTTTTGGTCTAAAGCATTGTTTGCAAATACTTAGTTTTACCATACTTTTTGTGAACAGGACTTTACACATCCTATAAGCTAGCAGCTTTATCCTTCAAATAAAAGGAGGCATGGAAATGTCAAAACCTCCGACGTATTTCATCCTGTTACATAAATAAATCCCTGACATTAAGAAGAAAAGACACAGTGAATAGCCCTCATGCACTGAAATGGGGTCTAAATGGACTTTCATAAAAGCCAGGCCTCATCTTTCTTTATCTCTCCATCTTTCTACATTTCCTCAGACTGCATGAAAGACTGAGCCTCTCGTCTCGGATCCATCTCCACAGCGGAATTCGATTCTGAGAATCCCATTCATTCAATTAGCCCTGACATAACTGAGCAGGAAGCAATGGCTGGTAGTGCCCAAAGACAGATATGCTTCCACTGTCTCCTGTACCAAACATTGAGCTAATTTACAGAACAACAAATGGATGTGATGCACAAACAAATATCTCTGCTTTACTGTATACCGATCTCTCTGTTCAGCAGCCGTTAAAATAATTTTTTCCAGTTTAAAGTATGAACGAGGGTTTCAGGGAATTGGAATGCATTTAGCCTATAGGCCCATTCAGACAATTTGCTTCAATTAACTGGTTAAAAAAAACTAATTCACAAGTGTCAAAAAGTCTCAAAAAGAGTCCAAGGTGTCACGTTCTTTTGGTAATAAAATAAATATTTATTTATATAACGCCGTTTATATATTATTAGTGTTTTACACTACCGTTCCAAATTTTGAGGTGTGAAAATTTTTGCAATATTTTTAAAAGTCTCATATGATCACCAAGGCTGTAAGTATTGATCAAAAATACAGTAAAAACTTAATACTGTGAAATAGTATTTAATTTAAACAATTACAATTTAAAAAATGTACAATTTAAATGTAACAATTTAAAACAACTGTTTCTTATTTTTATATATTTTAAAATGTATTTTTTTCCTGTGACACAAAGCAGAATTTTCAGCATCATTACTCCAGTCTTCAGTGTCACATGATCCTTCAGAAATCAGTTGTGCTGTTCAACATTTTGTGAAAACTATTATTCATTTTGCAAGTTTCTTTGATGAATAGAAAGTTAAAAGAAAATTTATATGAAATAGATTTTTTTAAAGATTGTAACTGTTTTTTGAATAAATAAATAAAAATATTAATTATTTATTAAAAAATAAATAAATTTGACACTACTGTTCAAAAAACCACATTTTTGAACAGTAGTGTATATCCAACATTTTATCCCCATCCTGCACTTTTACTCACAGATAAAGTTTTCTACTAGAGTCAGGTGCTTTAAATATGTTTCACAAATCTATTTGAATAAATTAAAAAGATTAAAAAATGATTTAATTCATAAAATTATTTGTTTGTAACATGTCTAGTTACAGACAGGAATCAGAAATAACTAAATGACAGTTTTGACCTTATTGGTTCACTGTTGAGCTCACCTCGGGTTTTTTGATGATCTGGATGCTGTACATGTGGTTCTTCATGGGGTAGATGATGATGAGCACGTCTCCAAACTCAGTAGGAATGATGCCTCTCCGGTAGTCCCGTGAGTGCTCGGACCAAACGATGTGCACTTCGTCGTTACCCAAGTGTCTTAACTGTATGGAGAGAGAGAATACATAAAAGATGTCATTTAGATTATGCTTTTGTCCAAACAGATTTAAAGTATACTTATTAAAGATATGGTTCCTCTATAGTAACTTAATGCTGAATGGTGATACCTCACTTTCATTGTGGGGTTCACATGCATAATACACTTGTATGCATTGTTTACTCTGTAACAATACAAGAAGCCTTGAGTTTGTATGCTGGTCATATTTTATGACCGTCATGTTCTCCAAAACAAAAGCAAAAATGTAACTGGTTTGAACTGAATCTCGACTGCATGTAGTCGTGGTACAGTGCTATCCACTCCAGCGTTATTAACCTTGCGCTGTGACAGTTGAGTGAACGGACACTCGGTCCGTCTCTCCTCCTCTCATCTATCTTCCACCGATCACTCCATCTTCCCGGGACCCGCTCAATCACTGCCAAGGCCATGGGCGCAGCGACCCGTCAACTGTCCCGGGCGACGGCCACAACCTTTATGCAACCAATGACAAACTCTGTCCTTTGGACATTGTTTATTTCTTTAACGGCAGAGTTCTACTTTGCAGTTACAGCTCAAGCTATTTAAAACAGCAAGGATCATAGGAACATGAAGCTGAACAGGTCCAAAATTAATACTCTCCAACCTTTAAATGTATATAGCAGTGACTAGATTTTATATGATGCTACAAAAAAAATCAAAGCAGCAAAATAATTGCCATAACTGCCATAAGGTAATATAACATAATAACTTAATAATAACATATAAATAAATAATAATAAGTAGATAAAAGTAAAAAAATAAAAATAAAACATTTAAAAAAGATAAACTATTTAACATTATGATAAATAATATATTTAATTAATACAAATATTTAATAACATATGCACTGATTTATTTTGATGAACTACAAACAAAATTTATGGCCACTAAATTCTCAAATCACTTGCAATTGGCAAGTGAAAATGTTTTTATATAATAAATTCTCTGAATTTAGTGGCAATTGTGTGCCAGAAAGACAATAAATATATAATATAAAAAAATAATATATTTAAAATATATATATTTATTAACTTCACAGATTTTTAAATTGTATAATGAAATATTATATTAAAATAATTAAAATTAAATAATATTTAATAATAATATTTTAGAATAATACATTGATTATCATTTTCATGGACAATAACGGCTGACAAATGTTCTCAATTCACTTGCAATTGGCAAGTATAGACATTTTTTTGAATCCTTCAGAGAGCATGTTAGACAATAAACATTGCATAAAACAGCAGCTGTAAGAAGAAAAAAAAAAGCAGAAAAATAAATGTGTGTACGCTGTGGCACCAGCGGCTGCGCTGCTGACACACTTTAGTGTCTAGTTAACATGGTTTAGAGTTGCTATCGGAAGATCGTGCTCTGGATAGCCTCTCCAGCAGCCCTTGCAAATCCAATTTGCCTCTGAGAAGTCATGAGAGGCAATGCAGCACAGGGACAGACCCAATCTAATTTGGGTGGAATATAGCCGTGTGTGGCATGGAGGTCCCCTCAGCTCCCCTGCAGGGCATGGACGGCAGTCCAAAAAAAAACCTTCACCGGCCCAACCGCCCCACACGTCACTTCACCTCATGCCTCGTGCTCAAATTACAGCCATGAATTACATCCAGCCTTCAGCTGCACTGCCGCAGACCAGGGACTGCCATTTCGTTCCAGGGTGTGTGTCCGTGTGACAAAATGATTGGAGTTTTATTGGATGATAAGGTGGTCTGGACTGAGATTTCTTTCATCTCTCAGCCATCTTTTTTTAATCATGTAATATCATTCTGAGAAATGCCACATTCGATTGGCGGCCCTTAGTGCAGATCGTGGCAACATTCTGGTAGAAATTCAAACGGCCCATCCTCATTGTGATAAGAAGATATAGATCTGCATTAAATGTATTATTGCAAGATGTGCTCAGTCACTTCAATGACACAAAAACAGAGAGAAAAGAAATGTTTGAATTATAGAAGAAAAGTGATCTGGCTTACCGCAGTTATGGTAATGAATGCATAAATCCTTGATTTTACGTTGTTAAAAAGATGCATGTTTTGTACAGTTCTGCATTTTAATTTCCTCCTAAAAACCCCATGTACTGTATATATGTCATATTTTAGATGACTTTAACTCTTTAACAATTTTTGCTACTGTACTTTATAACTACTGTTCAGAGGTTTAGGGTCAGTATGATAAAAAATAAATAAATAAAAAAAAAATGTATACTTTTATTCCGCAAGGATGCATGAAATTGATTTAAAAGAGGCATGAAATGCCTTTATACTGTTAAAAAGATTTCTACTTTAAATAATTGCTGTTGTTTGGAACTTTCAAGATAGCAAAGAATCCTGAAAAAAAAAAAGTTTCCACAAAAATATTAAGCAACACTGATAATATGAAATGCACAAAATTAGAATTAGTGCACTAGAATTGTTTCTGAAGGATCATGTGACACTGAAGGCTGAAGTAATGGAATACTGGAAAATTCAGCTTTGCATCACAGAAATAAATTATATTTTAAGACAGAAAACAGTTATTTGAAATTGTAATAATTTACTAAATTGCTTTATTGTATTTTGATCAGATAAATGCAGGATTGGTGAGTATAATAGACTTTCTTAAAAACATTATATTACTAACCCCAAACCTTTGAACGATAGTGTGATGTGAAATGTGAAAATTACCTGATGAATGAGTGGTCAACCTCTTCTCAAATAAAATGAGTAACAACAAAGTAGCCAGGACTGAAAGATGCTCTTTCATCTCGGCTATCTTAGTTTAAATCATATATCATCATGAAAAATGGCACATCAGTTTGTAGCATCACATCAGAAATTCATTCAACACAATGGCCTTTTCTTCTGATAAATATTAAAAAATCTGCATTAGTTTCTTTTAAGCACTTTTTGGTGAATTTGTACATTTTACAATCATTTGAGCTCAAATTTGTACAAATGCGCAGGAAAAAAAAGTGATGAACCGAACAAAAAACTGAACAAAAAATGAACAGAAAAAGTGTCCGTAATGAGAAACTGTGTTACATGAGCTACATTGTATACCTATGTTGCATTTTATTTTTCTCTCTGAATTTCACTCATTTAAGATCACTTTCCACCCTCTCGCTGGTCTGTTCTTACTACTGTACTTTCTATATGAAGATCAATCAAACACTGATCTGCAAATCTACAGTTCTACATTTCTTTCTGATTGAGTTGTACTCAGAAATATGGCACAGAAGTAAAATCATGTTGACGTCAATGTGCATTCATAATCCTCCATTTCTCTTAACAGGGACAAATATTGGTTTAAAAAAAGTGGGCCACGAAAACAGACCTAACATCTTGTCATCCTTCTGCTTAAAGCCAATTACAGTCCAACATCTTCCCGACAATATCCCACAACCCCCCTTTCAGCATACCTGCCCAGCTCATAAAAACAGAGAAGATACAATAAGCTGTAGGCGAGACCATTTCAGACTAAACGTGGCAATCTAATTAGAGCCACCCTTTACCTACCCAATAAGCGGCCCATGAAATGTCCCTCTTACGGTCCACTGTAGCCCTCCCTCCCTCTCCACTGTCCCTCGCAGCAATATCACATTTCTATCTGCGTTCATTAATAAGTCTTTGGGGCGCATTAGCATCTTATCGCCTCGTCTCTGCCCCAGAAGACGTATGAGTGAGGAAGTGAGGGGACAGCTCTAATGACAAGCGATTGGTCATTCGGCATGGGGCTGGCCGCTCCACAAACAGCCCCATATCACAGCCTTCCAGCCTAGCTCATTAAGGATAATGCTGCACATTATTAGATTTGTGCTGCCCATGTGAACGGAAAAAAATACCCATGCAGACAGACATTTGCGGGTGTTTCTTCAAGTACGGACACTTTAATGTCCCAGGGGTTGATTTTTATTAAAACTAACAGCTTGTACCAGTTCTTTTTGTTATATGAAGGTCACAATAAACTGACTTGGCATGGCAACTTTTTACCATGCCTTTATTTTTATTTTTGCTACTATATTTTATTGCTTACCTTTGTCTCAGTTTGTTTGTTTGTTTGTGTTCAGCTTCTGTGGCTATTTTCATGGTGAGAAATATTATGGCTAAATTATATCATGTTTTTATAATTTATTTTTGTTAAAAACTCCAAAACTGTATTTGGCGTAACTCTGTTAAAAATCTCTTCAAAAGAGTTAACTGAATAAAAGCTCTCAAAGGGTTAACAACAGCGCAATCTAATAAAACATGCTTAATGGATAAAGGGATTCTACCTTTGTTCCAGATCCAGAACTTCAATCTTAAAACATGAAAATCCACAATAAACATATTAGCATTTTTTAAGAATGATTTATCTTAAAAGAAATAATCATAACACATTTCAATATTTATCAAGCCAAAATATATATTAAAAGAAAAAAACACCTGTTTCTCAGTTGTGGTTTGATTACCATTACCAATTTTGCCATTAATCATAATAATAATAATGATTTTGACCATTTTTCCCCAAAAGTTATACTTGTTTACCATCAGACAAAAGTGTCAGTGGAAAAAAGTGTGATACGTAAAGAGAAAAGTAAATATAACTTGAACAAAACATTTTACTTGCATCATTTCCAGTCAAAATCTGATTGTGTCAATTTATGCAAGAAAATATAAAAATATTAATTGTGTATATTTAGGATACATGTTTGCAATGAAATTAGCCTTAGCAAGACAAAGTAGTCTTTTTGCCATCGTCATTTCCACCATTGAATACTATTAAACAGTACATCATTTGAGATGAGTGTGTACACTGATGGATTTTATTAGTAGACATAAAATAAACTAGTTAGAATGTAAAAAGTGTGTTTAAAGAATGTTTAATTTATAAACGCCCACAGGGCAAAAAAGTGCCTATAGTTGAAGAAACACCCTTACAAAGAGAAAAACTAGAGAGCAATGTTTCTCCATAAGGTCACATCGACTGCGAGGAAGAGTGCGAAAAAGAAAGGGTGCGACATCCCTCTTTAAATAAAAGAGAGACAAGATAAAAGCCAGTGGGAGAGGCAGAACGAGAGAATAAAGTACAGCTGTTAGGAGTCATTACTTTCTCCTTTTCTCTGCTCCGACAGCAGATAGGACCTTTTCTCTCTATGGGGAACCCAGAAACACAAAAGCGCAGCTCTCGGCAGGTATAAGTGTCCCACCCCTTAGATTAGCCTGAGTTAGGTTTAATGATGAGGTGTGAACGCACAGGTCAGTGAGGTTCTGTGTCCCACTTCACCCATCGCACAGGAGGAGCAGAGCTGCACTGCTGGAGACAACTCTAGACAGAAGAGCTATGAAAGAAATGACACAGACTACAATCTAAAAGGCCTGCCACAGGTGAGCTGGCAGGGGGAAAGTTTAACTCTTTAGAGAATCAGCAGCTTTTGAGAGAAGGAAAACAAGATTTCTCCTTGTTCTTTTGAGACTGGTGTACTTTCACGAGGCAAAGCTCCGGTCTAGTTGGCCAAGCTGCAAAATGGGTTATTTAGATGTAAAAATAACACTGTTCAGAAACACCTTCTTCGTGTTTAGCAGAAGATAGTATGTCATACAAAATGCAGAGGTTATTTACATAAAGTCCTAAAACTCTAAGTATCAGTATGTGATAAAAATCTGTTTTGTTATTGTTAATTAAAACTAAAACTATAATTAAATGAAATCAAGATAAAAAAAATAAAAAAAAAGGATTAAAAAAAGTTAAACTTCAAAATATTGCCTTGGCAACTAACTGAAAAAAAGTGATGATTTACTAATAAATGAAATACAAATAAATTAAAACTATATAGAAATATTAAAAAAACAACTAATAAAAATGGCATAAGCATATAACAAAATTACTAAAACTTTAAATAACATAAAAATGAAAATATAAAAACAAAAGCTAATTCAAAATACGAATATATGTTAAAATAGTATCTAAATAATACTAAAGTAACTCCGGTGGAAATTTGTCATGTAACCTGACTAAAATCGTAAGTTGACTTCAAAATGGCGAATTCTACAAGTTTACCTTTTTAGTGAGCGAGTCGTCTGAGTCCGGAGGCATGCGTGTGGAAACGTGGAACATCACTTCAACTGTAGATGTGGAGAAGTAAGGCATGGTCAAACCCGTGCTCTTGTTCCTCTGCAGGCCGCCCATGAAACCACAATGACTCGATAGGTTCACCTGAACATTGAGGAAAGAGTTTGTTAGGCCCATGTATTAATATCATATAAAATATTACAAGTAATATTTAAATATATATAGGACATGTATTAATGAATTGCCACCCAGCAATTAATTATCAAGATTTTACCTCCCAGCCCAGGCCTGACACAAAGTCCTCATAGGCCTGACTCCCGGCTGTGTTGGACAGTATTGAGTGCTTGTCTTCCTGTCCCTCTGCCACGTAAAACACAGCAATCTTGTGCGTTTCACGACTAAAAAAGTAAATAGAGAAGAAAGCAAATTTAGGAGCAAAAGAGGTGTGCACTTTTGTCAGGTGGTCTCACAGACTTTAGAAAATAAGGTCCCTTTGCCCTTACAAGATTGTTCCTAATAGCTTTAAAAGAAACAACACTGGATAAAAAGTGGCATAACATACCACTGCCTTGAATCCAGATTCTTCAGCTCTCTCAGTAGTTTTTCGTTCTTCTTCAGCAGGTGGAAACTGTTCCTGGAGACAGGACATTTAAACATAAGAGCTAATGAAGAGAAATATTCATCTTCGATCACTTCAGGTTAATTAGCTTACACATAGACAGGCGATCAACAACAACATTAATGTAATAGATACATACAAAGATATCTAGATGGACAGATATGACAGACAGAGAAGAACAGACAGACAATAATAGAACTATAGACAGAATGATAGATAGAACGACAGATAGACAGATTTTTTTCGTTTTTTGAGGATGCTCTAGCTATTATTCACAGACCCTATTTAGAGAAGCGCTGTTCTAGACTGTGCGTTAGATCTCTTTCATTAAGCGGCCGCCTGCTTAATTACAGTCATCCTTGTTTTTCTCACAGTCTCCCGGAAAATCTGACCCCACGACAGAAACGCAAATGAAAACAAACAATGGAAGATCCTGCGCTGAAAAACATCTTATGACACGATAAGGCCGTAAAACAAAAACCTACACATGATGTCATGAAAAGAAAAAAAAAATCATAAACCTAAGATAATGCGACTTCTTTCCGTCTGCAGCTTTTATAGTTCAGAGTTCAGTTACTTTCTTCCTCTCCCCCTCTTTATCTTTCGCTCCCTCCAAGTGGCCGCGTGAGTCATGTGGAAAAGCCACACGATGCTCTCTAAAAGGACTTTTTGTTTTGTTCTCCTTTTCTTTGAGCAGGGGTCTCTTTATTAGCTTGTTGCAATGTAATGGTCTTCATTTTCTCCATTGAAAGTGAGCCATTTCAGGAGGCGAACGCGCGAACGGCATAAAAGGCCGACATTAGACGCGCGCTCACACACACAATGGCCCGGCGGATTGCAATGCCTTAGTCTCTGACCACGGATAAATGATACATGAATGCCTGGAGAGCGGCAGCAGGACAATTCCTCATTAAACAGCCCCTATGCATTTTCTCCCAGCTCTCCAACTCATAATAACCCTCCAGCCACATTCGAAAGGTAGCAGCCTTTTATTTTCACCTGGCGTATCAGGCAAAAATGAAAAGTACCGCCGCTGCTCGGCAGATAACAGACCCCTCATGAATTAATCCCCCCATAAAAGCTGCGTACACACACACACACACACACCATTCACCCAGAGCTGCTGAAGAAAAGCTTTTTCCCTCCTGGCAACTCTATGAGGGAATGGTGAAAAAACAATTTTCCTTCATTAATCTCATAACGGAGCATGTATATCATTAAAATTAATGCCATTACATTCAAGGTGAAAAATAACCCCAATTTTCCAATTATTTGTCATCTGGAAATATTTAACCATTCTCTGTAATACCACAAAATGGAATGGGATTGAACCCTCACAGTCAAACGCAATGAGGGGAACCATTAGGTATTTTGGAGTGGGACGGAAACTGAGGTTTGCGCAGTAAGTGAGCACCACTATAGTCTGTATTGGTGGATAAGCTGATCAGAAAAATGTTGACTGTTTAAAGCAGATTAACATGGCTCTGCGCAATCAGGGAGAGGTGTGAGCAAACAGGATGTTTACATGAATTATCGGGCTTCAACAACAGCGTCACCCAGATTGTGCTAACAAACGCTACCAAAAAAATTTAGTGATTAATTTGGGAAAAAATGGCAGGATGGTTTGATGAAGTGTTGTTGATCACTTTATTCCTAGAACAAAGTATTAAACTCTCTGATATGGTGGTTAAACAATGCTAACAAAGACATAACAGAATTGGCAGAATTATGGTTGGAGGAATTTGTTTCTGTTATTAGTAATAAACTGCCCAAAAACTCAATATTGACAAAAAAGTGACTAGCTTTGGTAACACACTAACAACAAACAACGTAATCAAGTTCTCTGTTGATTTTGACATGGACATGATGAAATTAACAATTTAATGAAAGTTAATGAAAATAACTGATTCTTGAGACAGGCTTTTCAAAAATAATGAACAATTAAAAAATACATAGTGCATTAAAAAAAATGTGACTTCGGGTGCTGAAATCCTGTCAAGCAAGTAGTGAGCACGTTTATGATGATTATCGTAAATTTATCTGCAGTAATTTGCAGGCAAACCTGCAAAATTTGTAGTAAAACCATGTTTAATGTTCATAAAGGTATATAATTAAAACATTATGCAATTGAGTGCAGAAATGATCACCTTCATAAAAATAATATTACCTGACGCTGATAATAAAGTAGCCAGTCTTAACAGTTTATGTGATCTGGCTCTTGATTTTATTTGAATGTTTTAATTTTTTTATTTCTTTGCCGGGAGGCAAACATATAAAAAATGTGCATGGTAAGAGCGTCTACGGTAGTTAGCGTTGGCCAAAACACGCAAGGAAACGCGTTATAAAAAAAATATTGTCAACAATCACAGACATTTGCATTCGGATGGGATTAGTTTTCTCAGAAGATCGCTGAGTTTGCCGAAAAAGTAGGATTTTTCCACCCATAACACGTTTGTTACAAATACGATTTGTACTTATGGATACTCTATATCAGGGGTTTTCAAACCTGTTCTGGAGGCCCCCCAGCACTGCATATTTTACATGCCTGCCTCATCTAACACGCCTGATTCAACTAGTCAGCTCAGCTAGTAGAGACACTGCAAGACCTGAATTGGATGTGTCTGTTAAGGTAGACCTACAAAATGTAGTGCTGGGGAGCCTCCAGAACCCCTGCCCTACAGGATTCCCAAGCATTTGCAACTGCAATGTGTGTTCAAGTGGTCCTGAGTCTTACCTCTTCTCCCAGGAGTTCATGCCTAGTATGTTGAGGAGCAGTTTGCAGTAGTAAAAGGCCGACTGTGGTCTCTGTGGGCTTGGCTCTTGCTGTACTACAGCCCTCATGTTCAGGTCATTTCCACAATGCAGCGTAAAGTCCCGCTCTTCGGCGCACTGCTTCAGGATGGCGTTGATGACGTCGTTCTCCTGCTTCTCGGACACGCAGGTGGGTGGTGGGGCTGGAATGTTGAGCAGTGCACCAGTACGTTGCAGGCACTCTGGGCTGGAGTATCCCAGGTACTGCAACATTTCATCCAGGGCGTCCTCCCCATCCTGCAGGGAGTCCCAGCTTGGGATCACCTCTCTGCACCGCCGTTTGGCCTGTGGGGCCATCAGTTCCAGCCCTGCCTCTTCTTCCTCGTCTTCTTCCTCCTCTCTGTCTTCTTTCACATCCTCCTCGTGCTCATCCAGGTCCTCCTCATTCTCCTGAAAATCACCATCCTCTGGTTCTTCTTGACTGCCTCTTTCTAGACTGTCCTCATCTCGGCCACATTCTCTATCGCCCCCTGCTTGATTGGAGGATGAGTAGAGTTGCAAAGTTTGACTAGGAGTGATGCAATGAGGTGGACCATACAGTACAGCAGAGTCCCAGGAGTGTTTTCCGGAAATGTCCCTCACGATCACCCGAACGCAGGCACTGGTGGTGGTGAGGCCAGCTGACATCCCGCCACCGGGCAGGCCGTCCTCTGCCCGGATCTGTAGATAGGACAGCAGGGTGGTGCCATTGAGCACAAAGAACTGTAAGTTGGGTGCGTCGAAGAGTTCAGGGGTCAGGTCTGCGCTCTCGCTGTACGGGTTATCCTGGTTCTCGCATACCTGGCTGGTCAGAGTGGCTGGACCACCACTCATCGGATAGTGACCCAGGTGATTGACCAGGTGGGATATGACCGTGCGCGCTGCAATTGAAATCAGGCCTTGCTGAATACGACTCCTCACTACAAACAGAAAGAAAGACAAAGATGTATTTAAAGAAGTTGTATGTGCAGACATTTCTGGAGATTTTCAAAGACAATTAGAGTGCCCATCATTCATAAGGTTCTACATATCCCTTACTACTTGGGTGTTCAAGCTCAGTTTAAAACTATTTGGAATGTTCTCTTGGAATTAATCAACTTGACCGAACATCTTATTGACCAATCTGTATTATGGGAGCCTTGTATATTTATTATATAAGCTGGTTCAGGTCATCTGGCATAATCAGCCGTGTTTCTTACATAAAATTGCATCGTCTGATCAACAAGATGGAGCAAAAAGAACAAGCATTATGATACAATTTTAACATTTTTAGTACTATTTAAGACTATTTAGTACTATTTGACATGTTGTAAAAAAAAACCAAAAAACAGCACAAGACACATGGCAATGGCCAGTTATTTTTCTGAAAGTTAACTTTTTAGATAGGTTTTACTGTGCAAACCAACGGGATGCTGTTAGCACACTAACTAAACCACCATTAAACATATTTAAAATAAAATAAAATAACAAATTAAGAAAGAGTTAAAAATATATATAAAATAAATCAAAAGAAAATTTACATTTAGGTAGTTGACCTCACTATCGACTAATCGGATGATCCATCTCTAAATCTATTGTGCAGAATTTAATAAAAAATCAGAAAGTGAGAGAGATGGAGAGACTGCAGTGATGATGAAAAGGTGTTAGAAACAAGTAAAGGAATAGAGTTTAGGCACTCGTTTCATCAGGGATGTAGTGGTTTTCAGATCTATCAGTGTTAAACTCCTGCGGAGCCGAGATGAGTGAAGGTGCAGACGGCTCGTGTGAATACAGAGACATTAGGGTGTGATGAAGAATGCAGGATGCCTGGGGAGAGGTGCAGATGCCTCGATGCTGGTAAGAAGCTCCCGATGGAGACACTCCTTCTTCACATACTGCCAGAACTCACAAAGAAACCATGCAGAGAGCAGCCCAATACCAGTACACTCGACGTGCCAGAGGCCCACTCCCCCCAATCAACACAGCACACCAATCACATTCAGCGACAATCTCCACCACCTTAATGAGCCAAAACATTCTTAGATCGGAGCTCTTGGGGGAGGGATTTTATCCTGATGAAGCAGTCTTCTGTACGGACCACCTCAGCCGCCGAGTGCCCTCCGATCTAGCAAGAATCCAGCGCTAGGAGTAATGGAGGTAGGAAAGTGGTGGACACATGTCTCACTCAGGGTTGTAATGATTAGTTATTTTCGCCTGATGGAGAGAGAGACACAGCAACGGCAGCACAGGAAACCAGCCCCCTGCTGTCAATCTCAAACCCGTCCTCTCCCTGATACACACTGATACTAGCATGAGGAAACAAACAGATTCGGTGATGAAGACACATTTTCAAGTAGTTAATTCCTGCTTCTTCTGATTTGTTCTGCTTGTTTTAACTACAGAAGGTGATAAAGATAGGAGAAATGTGGTGGGTGATGGTTGATACTGTGCGACAAGCTGTTTTTTTCCATGTTTTTGTCTTATCCTGCAGTAACAGTGAGAAATGATCAATTTAGTTCTATGTTAATCCAAGTAAAAAGCTGTTATTTAATAAAATTACATGACAAAATAATTTTTAGGTCACTTTGACCCACAGTAATGTCTCACTGGTCCAAAATTGTGCTTTGCATAGCTGCATATTAAACAGTCAATCATTCTCAATGGCTTTCTGTGAGGACAGAAAAATTACTTGATGCTCAAAACTTGCCATGTCGCAACTGGTTAGGACAAGGCATAGGAACTAGAAACTGGTGAGGTCAAAACAAGAACAAGAGAGAGGCAGAAGACATGCACTCACCTTCAGTGACGGGCTGCAGTTTAGAGGAGCGTTCAGATTCGGGTGAATGAAGTGGCTCTGGCTCTTTCAGGTTCTCCAGTAGTAGGAAGGGGTCGTAGTCTGGGCTGCTCAAGTCTGACAGGTGAATGGGGAAGTAATTGGGGTTACTGAAGCTCTGAGCCCCATATACACAGCCATGGAGGACCTGAGGGGTGGACAAATGGTTTAGAAATACAAAGAAATAAAGAGTGGGGTGCACTTATGTGTTGAGTTGTTCCGAAAGGGGAAAGATAAAAATGAAAGAGCGATACAAAATAAAATGATGCATATTGAGATATAAAAATTATGTTTAATAGCAGATGTGTGTGTTGGCCCTCATACTTTATAGATACAGCTGAGGATGGACTTGTCAGTTTTTTCATTGTCCGAGGCTCCTTGGACCGGCTGCAGGAGAGTTTTTGGAGGTAGAGCCATCACCCAGTCCAGCAAGCATAGCAGCAGAGACACAACCAGCTGGAAAGAGACAAAGCAAAATAAATCAATAAATTATTACAAAAATTATTCAAAATAAATGCTTTCTATTTTGATATATTTAAAATTTTAATTTATTCCTGCCAAAAAACGTAATCTTCAGCAGCCACCACTCCAGTGTTAAGTGTCACATGATCCTTCTAAATCATTCTAATATGCTGATTTACTGCTCAAGAAACATTTCTTATTATCAGTGTTGAAAACATTGCTGCTTAAAGCTTAAAGGGTGGTTCATTGTGATTTCACTTTTTTAACGTTAGTTAGTGTGTAATGTTGCTGTCTGAGCATAAAGTCAATCTGGTGACCAATTTAAAGAAACAGTACACTCAAAAATGGAAACTCAGCATCACCCTCATGTCACCCAAAACAGTTATGTCAATTTAAGCCTCTTCCTCACACAAACCCATCAAATTTCTTCAGAAGACTTATAATGTTGCAAACACAGTTTAGTTGCTTTATAAAGCATTTCTTTTTAGTAAGAACAGGAACATTTCTTGATGTGCTGCATCTAGACAGGACAAACTGTTCTGTTTTTTAAGTGTACTTTCTCTTTAATAAAAACCGGCATGAGTTGTTGGTTGAAAATAATTATTTATTTCACATGCACATGAGTGTGTTCTTTCATTGTGTTGGGGTGCATTTGTTAATAAGACATACCCTCTTGTCCAGCTCATGAGGGGAGGACTCTGTGGCTGGAAGAAGGTAAGTTATGGTTGCAATAAGGACCTAAAAAGCAGAAAATAAACATCACACATCTAAACCATGCTTAACTTAAAATTCAGCTCACTTGTAGTGTTACTGACTTTACCTCCACTATTTTCTTTGGAGTGTCAGGCGGGAATTTCTGCAGTTCGTCCACATAATTGATGAGCAGGTGCAAAATGTCTGAGGCCACCAGAGCAACGGTTTTATTTGAGAACTGGAAGAAAGGTATTAATGGTTAAAATGGAAGCAATCAGCAACTTTAATGTGCTCAGACATGTGTGGAGCAAAACTGAAAAACTGTGTCGTGGGCCTCATCTGAGCTGATTAAGACGGGATGAGTCTTTGCCTAATTCTGCTTCATGGAACGCACCCAAAGGAGAGAGACCCTCATGTCTAACCCTCCACTGACACCAGATTCTCTGAAAAGCCAATAGAATCGACCCGATCATAAACAGACTTTTCTGATTGGACCTGAGTTTGAGTATGTGTGTGTGTGTCTGTTGGCCCTAGCCTTCATTTCAGACAGAAATGTAATAATTCCTTGAAGTCTCTGAAGCGTGCATTCTTCAGTGGATTAGCCTTCTGTCTGTGAGAAGCAGAGAAGCCAAACATGTTGACGGTCCAGATTTAGGAAGGCTGGTAGGGGTGGGTGCAGGGAGTATGGAATAATCTTCTTCTGGATGAACAGAACACACTTGTGCCAGTGCAGTGAGCCCAGGCATCAAGAACGGCTTCAGAAGACTCAGGCCAAGGGCAATGCCATCATTTCTCTGCTGTGCTCACTTATGTTGCCAGTGAAGGTTCTTTTACAACACAGATGCTTCTATTCCATTTATAATCAATCTTTAACAGCAGAATATATGTACATTTTGTTGTATAATCAAGCATCCGTAACCTTGACAGTGACACAGATGACATTAAGCGCTTCTTTGATCTGCGGATGCTGAGTGCCATGAACCAGTTCTTCACAGAGCCAAATACCCAGACTACAGAGAGCCACACACCTGCAAAAAGAAACAAAGACATAACTTTAATTTCAACTTTAAAATAAACATCCAAACAATTTACAAATGCACAATCTCTTTAATAATATTTGTGCTTTAGATATGGAAATGTTTACATCTGCCATGTAAAGAATTTACTTCAAGCAAAAACATTTTTTAAGATTAAAAAATAGATAAATAAAAAAGTTAATTAAATTAAAAATATGTATAAAAATATATTTTGTACTTTATTTACATTTATTTCTTTTCATTTTTTGCCTTTACTGTCACTTCTGATCAACTGAATGTGTCCTTGCTGAATAAAGTTTTTTTTTTTTAAATCAGCTTCTGCAACTATACATACATTTTGCACATTTAAAAAAAAAAAAAAAAAAAACACAAAGAAAAACAAAAACAAGTGTAACTCAAATGTGTGTGGCTTGAATGGGGCCCACAGCTCAATGTGTTGGGGCATGTGCACTAACCACTAGACCATATAGATATTTAATCCTGCCTCCTGTCTGCCCCTTCTATGATCTAAGGCTTCCTCAGTTTTTCCCTGAAAAACACCCAAACTTTTTCTACTGGGAGTTATGGGGGCTTCTAATGGCTTGAGCCCCATCAGAATCCACTCTAATCCTACTGAGTCCTCCTGGATTACTTTAAATGACACTGCTCCTAATCTGTCTAGATATGACCAGACACATAGCCCCACACCAGTCTAACACTCACCGTAATGTACAGAGTTATTAATCTGTCTGCCATGGGGTTTGCTTGCTTCATTTTAAAAACCAAATCTAACAAGGAGGATGCACTGACCTGGAAAACACAAGACTTTTCTTTTCTTTTTTGGACTAATAATACAATCCTGATGAAGGATACTATACAAGCTACATCAAGGGATCAGTTAATTAATTATACAATCCCCTTTTAAAATTAGATTTATGTCTATGGAATTAGTATAATGCATTTTAATGCACAATGACATGACATTTTTTCTGTCTGCTGCAGTGTGCTTTGTATTATCTGAGTGTTCATGTTAGTGATGTTCACGTTTACAGTTTTTTGTCATAACCAACCTGACCTTTTGTCCTCTGGTTGAAATTTCAAACTGTCTGTTCAGCTGAGATTTACTTGCTACATTTCGCATTCACTAAGAACAGGAAAATGATTTAATGTGCCACACCTAGCAAGAATGATATGTTTTTTTTCCCCACACTTTTTTATTTAGCAGAGGGATAGAAGAGGAAATGATGTGGAGTGTGGGGGAACGGGATCAGGAAATGCTGCAAGCATTTACCTAAGAACTACAGCACACCATTCCAGAGTAAACGTGGTCACTTCTAAGTCAGCTTTGACTAGGACAAAGTGTTTGTGTTCAGGGCTTGTACCTTGCTGGTGCAGAAGGCTCATCTCTGGCAGAGGTCAGGATGTGCTTGATTATATGCTCCTGAAACAGAAAAACAAATCTCAAATCACAATCACTATTAACGGGATCATAGTGATCAACATGATCACATAGTTATGTTATGATACGTAATCAGAGGGTGGGGAGATGGGGGGATTCCCCCGGTCTATATGTCTCTCTGCATCAGCTAAATTATTTTTTATTCACAGTGAATAGGAGTTAAAACTCCCACCTGGGTGACATAACAGACCATGCAAAATACCCAAAAGTATTTAAAATATCGCAAAGTAACATTGCAACCTTGCAAACAATAATAAAATCAGAGAAGGACTTCAACTGTAAGCGACACGAGCATACGCAAAACAATATGATGTTATTATTAAAATTTTATATAGCCCACGTTTTTATAAACATTTTTATTTTTAAATTTAACGTTGACAATAACGTAGGCCTATATCATCAACATACGTTGTCTATGACCAAAAATGTAAGTTGTTCAGTGGACAGTAAAAATATACAGTTAGTGTTTTTTTTTTCTTTTGATTTAGTCGAGTTGGTTTTGCATCAAACACAATGTAATTTTCGGCAATCGAGATCTGACAGCAACAGCGCATTTTTCCGCTTGGGCGAGCGCTTCGCGAACAGCTTACTTCGCGCATTAAATCTGCCACAGACCAGCAAACCACTGAGAAAGCGCTATAATCCTGACGAGTCATAGCAACAGAGCGGAGACGAGAAAGCTGCGGAGAAACCGCTCGCCCGGAAGCAACAATAACTGACGTAGATTTACAGAAAATTACTGCCGTTTGGCAAAAAAAATCACAGCGCATTTTTCCGCTTGGGCGAGCGCTTCGCGAACAGCTTACTTCGCGCATTAAATCTGCCACAGACCAGCAAACCACTGAGAAAGCGCTATAATCCTGACGAGTCATAGCAACAGAGCGGAGACGAGAAAGCTGCGGAGAAACCGCTCGCCCGGAAGCAACAATAACTGACGTAGATTTACAGAAAATTACTGCCGTTTGGCAAAAAAAATCATTTTACGTACTTATTCCTAACTCTTTAAGCTTTAAGTTACATTTCAAATGACAAGGGATCAACTTATAATCATGTTTATATGAATTATCCCGTGAACTTATTCTCTCAAATGGCCTGGGTATGCGGAGCATTCACAGCTTATATGGAGGGAACGCCACTGATATATATATATATATATATAGTTTTTTAAATATATACTGTATATAATTTAAACGATTAGATAATATTAAAATGTCTAATATGAAATATAAGCGATTCACATCACCAGTCAAAAGTTTGGAGTCAGTAAGATTTTTTGAAAGTCTCTTATGCTCACCAAGGCTAAATTTATTTTTAAAAAATACAGTAACTAATAAACACTAATATTGTGAAATATTATTACAATTTAAAGTAACGGTTTTCTATGGAAGCTTGTTTATATCTTGCAATTTAGATTTTTTTTCCCCTCAGAGAAAGTTTTTTTTCTCAGAATTGCAAAAAAAGTGAGATATGTTGCAATTACCTTTTTATTCCATAGCTTTCCGTTTTCAATTATTTTAAAATGTAATTCATTCCAGTAATAACAACGCTGAATTTTAAGCAGACATTACTCCAGTCTTTACATGATCATGAAGATTTCTTATTATCAATATTGAAAGAAAAACAAAAGAACAGCATTTATTTTAAATAGAAATCTTTTGCAACAATATAAATGTCTTTACTGGTACTTGTGATCAATTTAATATACCCTTGCGTCAGAACAAATAAACAATTCTGAATGGCAGTCAATGAAAATACACGGAGCACAAAGTCCTCTTCAAGGATCTGGCGACATCCTGATACCGATCAATTTCATTCCATCTAGAGTGTGTCAGATAATATGCACCCATTTCTTAGCCACACAGCACATTCGCTCACAGAAACATACACAACACCCCACACACTCCCACCAGAGACACAGATGCACAGAGCGAGATAATGCAGACAGACAAACAGATAATGATCAGAACCGTTCACAACAGACACAAAATCTGACATAAAACCAGCAATCTGGCAACTCGGAACATGACATATCCAACCATCTGGAAAAGAAGCATCTGTCCGCGTGCACACACGCACAGAAAAAGGATCACGTTAACCACGGTCTTGTCATTCATGGCCTGCTCCTGGTTATCAGATGCCATCATGTGAATTTCTGCATGCGAGTGACGGACGCCTCGCCGCATGGCATTAGCTCCTTACCGTCGCTCGGAACAACACGGCAACACAATAACAACAGCTCTATGGAGATGGCTCAATGCAGCCTGCATTGCTGATCGCCCATTAGCACATTAGTGTCGGCAGGAACAATTACAGCAGATTTCCCTGCACTCTAAACAACCGTTGGAGTGGCATACATTCAGCCACTTGGATTTGCATAAGGGAAGGCGGTGGATCAGAGGTTAAATGCAGATGACAGATACAAACACATGAGGAAGTCCTCATTGAAGGTCAGTGGTCCTAATGTAGCTGCATGAAATCAGAGATTATTTGTAGGAAAGATGAACAAAACTGCATATTTTCCAAACCATTTAGTTAATGGAACAACTAAACAACTATTGTAGAAGGCAGAGCAAACTCACTTCACCATGCGCAAACTTTTGGAAGAAAATCTTAAATAGTGAATTGTGGGTGGGGGATTATATGAATGTATCTCTGAGGGGAGCTGACTGTATTCAGAAAAGTTTAGATGGTATTTTCTTTTCATCTTACCTCCATATATATCCATGCATATTAATGTAGCATTTAAAAGCAGGTGCTTTGTTTACGGTAGTAACCAAGGAAACGCTGCATCACTGTTGTTCCATAAGTGCCACCTGCTGTCAAGAGAGTGAATTTGCGTCTCATTCAGCACGTCTGCTGTTTATGATTCGTGCAGATGTTTTTAAGTAGCATAATTTCACAAAGCTACGGTCAGACCATTCTGTTTTGCTTTAAATTTTGAAATTATCCAATCTAATTTACATCAAAAAGGGCTCATGCCACATGTAGCATGTTTGTTTGGATCGTGATTAAAATGCAGTGGTTCTGCAACTTTTTCATGGATTCTGACTCATATAAAGGCACTGTCAAGGAAAAAACAATGATAAACCATGAAACTGTCAGAATCCTAAAGAAAACTGTGATACAGATTTTTGGTCAAACCGCCCAGCACAATGCCCAATTAAATAATTAAATGAATAATAATTAAGACCATAAAATAATGAAAATTATTAATAAACTTTATATATAAATGAAAAATAAATATTATAAAAAAACTATTATAGAAAGGAAAAATGAGGTAGATAACCTGACCTCACTACGGCATCCATGCGTCTTGAGAATAATTTTTTGCTTTTATATTTTTAAGTTTTATTTATACAAAGATTTCCTGGGGTAGGATGTGATACCTTGACATCTGTGAATTTCGTCATGAGAATGTCAGCCGTTGTGGGGTGCAGGGCAGGAAGTTCATTGTACAAGTTTGGGAGGCACACCAGGGAGCCCAACAAGATCTGAGCCTCCACCCGTGGAGCCTGGGAGAAAGACAGAAAAAAAAGAGAAAGACAAAAGTAAGTTAAAGGCACATTGGATGTAACATTTGCAAACACGTGCATAGATGTTAACGCATGTAAAGGCAGTGATATCTGAAAGCAGTTTGGTGGTTTCTCACATTGAGGGACGAGCAGGAAGTTACACGACTCGCTGCCACGATGAAGTCCAGGATGAGCATAGTGGCACCCGGAAGTCCAATAGAGAAGAAGCGTGGAGAGCAGTGCTTAATGATGGTGTTCACAATGTCCTGGGAGTCAAAGAGGAAGAGGTCAACAAAAGTTTTGTGCAAAGTTGTCAATCCACATGGTGACCAGGTACACACAAACACACCTGGTCTTGGTGAAGCAGGCCGCAGTGCATGATGTTGTAGAAGTGCGTAAGGAAGTCAGAGTTAGGTGAAACATCCTGTCTTCTCTTCATTATCTTACAGATGAGCTTATAGGCATGGAGTTTCCCCTGCTTATAGCGTTCGCCCAACATAGTTGCCTGCACACAGACAGCACAAAACCTTTATAAACAATTGATATATCGACAGACAGACAGACAGACGGATAGACAGACGGATAGACAGACAGACAGACAGATAGATAGATAGATAGATAGATAGATAGACAGACAGAATGAACAAACCTATTGATTGGACAGATGGATAGATAGACAGACAGACAGACAGACAGACAAACAGATAGATCCACAGAACTAAGAAAGTATGCTAATAAAATAATAAAGTAATAGTCAACTATGATAAACAGTAAAGTGGATTTGCTCAAAATATTGATAAACTCACTTTGAAAAGCCAGGGAGTCAGAATCCGCAGAGGTGGAATCAGATCTGGCGGGGGTGGAGACGACTGGTTGTCAAGAGAGATCCCGAGATTGTCTCTGATCTAGAGAAACAGAAAAAAAAAGAAACACAAGGACGTTTTTCAACTGGAATTTGATTAGTAACGGCACTGTAAATCATCCTTTCAGAGCACACTGAAGGACTCTGAATGTGTGTGTGTGTGTTCACCTTGGCCAGGTTCTGCCAGAGTTCACAGAGGTAGTCAAAGACCTGTGCGTGGATCTCAGGGTCCTTGATGGAGTTGACATCTCCCAGAATTCCTAGCATTCTCCTCCACATCACTGTGGCGACATCAGCATGCCAGCCGGTCAGAGTGCCGCCAGCCATCACACTACAGTCCTCTGTCGGAAACTCACTGGTTTCTGCAAAGTGCAATCAAGTAGGCTCATTACAAAGACGGCAAAGATGCAACAGATAGAGTACTAGTTTGCATATTCATAGCTAAGTATGTCTGTCTATCGATCTATACGTTACCAAGGTCATCAGGGGTCTGCAGCACAGAGTGGTGCATTTTCTCATCCAGCTGTAGATCTTTATGCTGGATGTGTTCGGCAGTCAGTGTGGCGGGGGATGGCGTCTGTGATCGTGAGCCTCCCAGAGAGTGCATTGGAGACGCGCTCTCAGAACCTGAGGAAACATCAAGAGCATCAACACTTAGATCTCTAAACATGACACAGAAATGTCATACAGCATATGGGAACACTGTGACTGATACCAGGGTGTTCTAAAGCAAGGAATCAAGCAGCAGATGCTTTTACCCAAAGAAACTTTCTGTACACTTAAAGGAATAGTTCTTTTCAAAAATGAAAATGTTGTCATCATTTACTCACCCTCATGTTGTTCCAAACCTGTATGAGTTTCTCTCTTATGTTGAACACAAAAGAAGATATTATGAAGAATACTGAAGAACCAAACAGTTGTTGGTCCCCATTGACTTCCATAGTATGGAAACTGTGGAAGTCAATGGGGACCATCAACTGTTTGATTACCAGCATTCTTAAAAATATCTTCTTTTGTGTTCAACATAAGAGAGAAACTCATACAGGTTTGGAATGACATGAGGGTGACTAAATTATAACAAAATTTTCATTTCTGGGTGATCTATCCTTTTAACATGGGGAATGTTCGTTGGTTAGGTTAGTCTGGATAGTTTTGGGTTTACCAAACAACACCCTAGTGCTCTTGAAAATAAGGGTTAGAGATTATGCTGTTTGTGTGGACTTAAATATGGTATGTAATCGGAATGAAAGCAATCTGGGTTAATTGCCCGAGGGAACCACTACTGATAATTAGGGCTGGGTATCGATTCAGATGTTCCAATTCGATTCGATTTCGATTTTCGTGCCCAGCCCTACTGATAATGAATTATTTGCCTTTTACAGTATAATGTCTTTCTCATTGCTGCTGGTTTCTGCAGAAATTACATTCGGTGAGCAGTTCACAATCTTTGCATTACACGCAATGCAACTACAACAAATGTGTTGTTCTGTGCATGTTAAAATTGAAACTTAAACCTAAAGAAAACGTGTGAATGGTTTGGAATGAGGGCTGTGAATCTTTGGGTAGACAGCGATTCGATTCGATTCACGATTCATAGGTTTTCGATTCGATTCAAGAACGATTTTTGCAAATTCAGAACGATTCAATTCGATTCGATTCACAATTCAATTCGATTCGATTCGATTAACGATTCGATTCTGCATTCTTTAAGTACATTCACAGGATTATTTAAATGCTTCCCCTAAATTCTTTAAATGCTTAGTTAGGGGGCAAATTACACAGCAGCATTTATGGTTGCAGAACCATAGGTTAGAGAAAAAAAAACACTTTTGTCCATTGTTAGATGCTAGTTTAATGATGCTATGGCATGACATGGCATAAGTAAAAATGTATGTAAGCCAAGATTTTTAAAAAGAACTTTAAAAGTATTATGTATAGGACAACATTTTGTCACACCAGGGGCGTAGCCATCATTTCAGAAGTGACAGAAATATCAAATACAATAATTTTATGTATGTACAGTATGTATTATTATAATTTTTTTTTTTTTTTTTTTTTACAAGGAATAAGGAGAGATCACACATCAGCTGCTCAAAAAAATGCATAAGTGAGACGAACGGAGCGCGAGCGCAATCCTGTGAGTCACAGGCAGTTAGTGGAGCGCGTGAAGGAGAGATGCGAGGCACGAACACTGTTCAAGGTCTCCATTAATTCGTGCTTGTAGTAATTTAATGTGTATATATTTTGAAAGCATTGAATCGCTATAGAAATCGCGATTCATTCGATTCTTAGCGTTTTAAATAGATTACTGTCCGAAATTCACGGACAGTAATTCACGATTCACGATTCAAAAATCATGTTTCAAGATCAATGCATATGCATCGTCAGGATTTGTAATCGATGCATCGATAAAACGAGTGAATCGTTACACCCCTATTTGGAATCAAATAGTAAAATACTGAAAATTAATCAAATATGCATTAAGACCAAGAAATCAAAACAACAGTTATGTATTTGCAAGTTTTTAAATTCAAATTTCAAAACACAAAAGCTTACATTGAATTAAATGCCAGGTACAGTTTAATATCCAGTCTGCACATTTATTTATTTTACCTATTAATTTAATTTAATTTATTTCCTTTTTTATTTACTTATATGCCAATAATTACAGTCTTTCCGTCCCCCAAAAATGAAAGACTTCTTAAAATGATGACTTTTGTTATCTATGTTTCTTACAGTGATTATAGCAGTTCATAACCTACAAACTTTCTGTCCTCTACACCCTGTTGTATATGAGTGTGAGAGAGTGTACCAGTAATGGTGACAGTGTCAGCTGACAGGCCATGCTGACTGAGGCTGCTGGTCTCTGAGTCAATGTGGAGTGTTGTGAGACTGGAAAGCTCCTGTTCCTCTGCGGTCTGACCTGCTCCTCCCAAACTATCCTGATCCACAGAGGCCAGAGCACATGTTTCAGGGGGGAAGCTGAAATCTGCAGACAAACACACGGGTTCATTATCAAACTTCTTTTAAAACCAGTACTGGTTTGTCCCTTTAAATTCCACCTGAACTACTTACTTTCAAATTTGTTGTCATACTGAAAAGCATTGAAGGAATCTGATTGGCTGTCGGAGCTTATGAGGTCACTTCCACTGGCGCTGGCTGGGGAGGTCCACTCAGAGGGCACACCGGGGTCGTCTGCAGGACGCGTGGCGTTCTGACGGTTCAGGAGCTCTGGTAGATCTTTGGGGATCTCCAGACTTCCTGGACTACTGCCACGCCTCGTCATGCCCTAAAAAGAACATAGGAAAACATAATATACACTAAAAATAACATACAACAGCAGAATCAAAAACTGGATTATTTAGTTAAGCATTATGCAGCATTTAGCAGACCTGTGATACTTTTGCTGACAGTATTTGCTCATTTGTTTAAAATTATTATCAGGCATTTCAATTTAATGCGATCATTTAGTGTGATTAATTATGAAGAAAATACTGCGTTAAATTGACATATTTGAACTTTTTTTATTTTTCTACCATCTAAGATGTTCAAGTTTAGATAGAACTATGCTTTAATTAGATGTAGTTTTAGAGACTATGCATACTGAATGTTTGCATGGACATACAGAAGTGCCTCTGGCCCTCAGTCTCTCCTGGATGAACTCGTCCATGAGGTCACTGACATTAGGGTTGCTGGTGCCAGCATCGTTGGACATGGGCCTCATCTTCGGTGTCAGCTCATCTTTATTGGCTGAGACAACAGGCACAGAAAGACACATCAGTATTTTACAGGGACCTCCCAAAAAGGGTGCAAACACAGATGACCTAGCAGAATGACATGTACTAACTGACTCTCTCTTTGTAGTGGTGTCTGACTCTCTCTACAGCACTTGAATATAATTATGAATTAGTTTATTTGAGTTTGGGGACGGTGAGTAAATAAACACATTTTTCTTAAAGGACAACAGTGCCATTTAGTTTTTTGCTCATGTTTTACATTCGCCTTTTTCATATCTTTTTTTTTTTTTTTGACAATGGCAATCTGTTCAGATTCAATTAATAAAATATATATTTTACTTCATAGTTTTAGGGTGGGTAAGGTGTTTTAATGTTTTTAAAAGAAGTTACAAAAATAAAATAAAAAAATAATATTGTAAATTATTGCAATTTAAAATAACTGTAATTGAATAATTTATTTTAACATGCAATTTATTCCTGTGACTGTAATGCTGGATTTTCAACAGTAATTACTCCAGTCTTCAGTGTCACATGATCCTTCAGAAATAATTTTAATATGTTGATTTGCTCAAGAAATATTTCCAATTTTCAATGATAAAATCAGTTTTTGGAAACTGATATTTTTCGTGAAAACTGTGATACAGTTTTTGTTTAGGATTCTTTTATTAATAGAAAGTTCAAAAGAACACCATTTTATTTATATAGAAACTTTGTTAAATATAACAACTTCACTGTAACTTTTTATCGATTTAATACGTCCTTATTGTACGTGCCCATTAAGTATTAATTTCTTTTAGAAATAAACATATAAATACATCGTACTGACCCCAAACTTTTGAAGAGGAGTGAATGTTTTTCACATTATGGTAAAAATGTCATCTTGTAAAATCAGCTAAAATTTGCATGAAACCAAATAATCATGGATGTGATGCTTGAATCTACGTTAAACTTTAACAAGACAGTAAAATAGTTTGTGGTGAAAAACTGAGCAAATGAAACTCAGCACTATTGCCCTTTAAACACAACCAAAATCCTTTGACATTAAACTCATAAAACACTAAACCAGAACACATACAGAAAAACAAAATCTTTAACGGAAGCCAACCACAAAACTGATTTCAGTTTTGAAGCGATGCAGTTACTCACAGTTCATGCAGTCCCCAAACAGAGACAGACAGACAGAGAGAGAGACAGAGCAAACCCTGGAAGTCCAAACCTAAGAGTTAATGAGCCTTATGCTGACTCAGGTTAAAGTGAGACAGCAGTGAGTATGTTAGAGGAGCCACCCACAGCAAGACAAGGCAGCCTTCATCCCAAAGCAAAGGGTTAGGGAGCCACTGGTTAACAACAAATCATACCAACACGGCAGCACAACGTGGTGGGGTGGTGACTTTGGGCATTTGGATACTTCTAGAAGTCTGGTTAGTTTAGACTACAAGCTGTGTTTAAGTCATGAGGCCCCCGATTAACTAATAGCTTGTGCAACTGAACTGTTCACAGGAGCCATTCTAAGGTGATTCCTGCTACTACACTACAGGCAAGCTGGCAAGCTTTTAACACACAGTACCACAAGACTTCAGTTTAGAAAACAGTGCTCTTTGAGAGTGATAGTGCTGCTCTCTACTGGCCATACAAAACATTGCACCTATGGCAACTACAACAACTGCATACTGCTACAAGTTTTTATCACTCTTAGATGAAAATTCTGTCATCATTTACGCATTCTTATGTTGTTCCAAACCCTGTATAACTCAAAAGTTTATATACTGCAGAGGGCTCAAAGTGCTTTTTCTCAAAACGGGAAACTATTGAGCTTTACAAATGACAAAATAGCATCACAAAAGTAGTGGTGTGCAATATATATTTTCTAGAATAATATCATAATTGTTGTTTTAACAAAGTGCAAGCTAAAACTATGTAAAAAAAAGTATATCACTCACTTAAAAAAAAAAAAATCAAAACATGCCTTAAGCATTCACTGCATTATTCAGAATTATTACAATGCAGATGGAAAGCCAACGAAAACTGTTGTGCAATGGTTTCTTAATTACGCTTATGAATGAATCATTTGAATGACTGACTTAATGACTCTTTTTTTTTCTTCACAAGAGTCATTAAATCTTTTGAATCATTTCATAATGCAAGTTTATTTTTTATATTCTATACACACATACAATTGTAATTGCAGTGTAAATGTATTCATGCTATCTCTTCATATTTACAGTCTTCATATTCTTCATATTTAAAGTGTCATTTAATTTTCTGAATTAAAAAACATTTAATTTAATTTTATTCAACTTTTCAGTATTAGTTTTTTTTTTTATCTAATATGTCTCTACACACATACATATGTCTGTGCAATCATACTATCGCACACCCCTAACGTATGACTAAGAAAGCCTACTTTTAAGGTGCTTTTTTTGTCATTTTTGAAGCCCTAGTTACCATTATAAAAAAGAACACTCAGGAAATTCCGCTAAACAACATGAGGTTATAAAAGATGAAAGAATTATAATTTTTGGGTGCACTATTCAGTAAAATGACGTTATTAAGAATTGTATAGATTAAAACACATAACATTAGGTTGTATTAAAGATCACTGTGTTTTATGAATGTGTCAGTGAGCATGTGTGTACATGTACATGTGTGAGAGATTGACAGAGGGCGGGGAGGTAGGCATGAGGTCGCATGCAACATCCAGGGGAAGAGGGGCAGCAGAGATTAGGTCCCAGAAGCTTGAGGAGGAGGGGAAGCCATCCCACAGGTAGGGGACCGTTGGTCTTTTGGGAGTCTTTTTTTTTTTTTTTGGAATTGAGCTACTTTGAAAGAAAATACAAAAAGAGGCTTCAATTCAATCCACATTCAGCAAAAATCAAACAGTCACAAGAAAAGAGAGAAAAAAAGGGAAAACGCACAGGCGCTTTGGTCACATTTTTCATGTCTTCCATGTTGACATTGAGCCGACCGAGTCCTCACCTGATGTTTTTCTTCCAAAATAGCCCATAACGTGAGTGTACAGGTCCTTCAGGTGGGCCTCAGTGGCAGGCGCTTTGCTGTGACGCTGGGGCGACGCTGCCTGGGCCTTGGGTTTGGAGAGAGCGTGGACCATAGACTTATACACCCCGCCCAACAGCGCCACCTGGTGCTGCCGTGACGGGCTGCACCCTGACTCCTGAGACCTAGAACGGGGCCCCCGTGGGCGGAGAGTTGGGCGGCCGAGTCGGCCGCGTCTAGCCCCGCTGATGGAGCCTCTATCCCGCTCGACCGCCTCGCAACAGGTGACCCCCTCCCCCACACCCTTGGCCGCTGCCCCACTCGCCCCAACCGAGTGGCTGCTGAAGTGGCCGAGACGGCGGAGACGGGTCTTCCAGTGCGCCTCTTTGGGGTCCAGAGGGTTGTGAAACTGCACAGACTCTGTGGATGGGCGGAAGCTGACGTGGACACCACCACTGTGGCGTTTATTGGGATCAAGATGGGATAGTTTGGGCCTGGGTGCAACCTGGGAAGCCTGCGGACTAAGCTCGCGCTCACTAGCCCTGTCTGTGGCATTCTGGCGGTGTAGCTGCGTGACTTTGCTGCCCTCTGCTGGTTGCGTACTAACACTCAAATCCCAATCACATTCTTCTAAACACTCATAAAAACTCTTCTCGCTTTGCTCCATCTCTTTATCCCATTCTAGCGCCCAATCCCCACTTCCCCCAAGCTGCACCTGCCTGTTATCTGCACCTGCTTCCACCTTCACTTCCTCCTTGCTACAAAACTCCCTAAAAGTGCTGAAGACATCCTCCTCCCCTTCACCCTCGTTTTGATTGCTCGAGGCCGCTGCTGGACAGGACCAATCAGGGATAAAGGGGGGTTGCTGCCCCGGCATCTGGCAGAGATGGTCATAGATGCTTTCGCCCACCTCCAGGGATGCCTGGTTGTCGGGGGGTTGATGTGGGTCAGTAAGCTGGTGTGGGGTCGGGGAACTGTGGGGGGACTCAGAGGTGGTGGTGGTAAAGTGGGAGGAGTGAGAGGGACTGTCAGAGACAGGAAGTGCACCTTTGACCCGCTCTGCGATGAAGGGCTCCATGATGTCAGAGGCGCTGCTGCTGCGGGGGAGCGGAGGCTGCTCCAGCTCACCGGAGGCAGAAAACACCTCGGACGATGGGGTCTCCTCACTTTGAGAGCAGTGGCGGATCCGCGACCCGCGCTGGACAATGGGAGGTTCCTCCAGGTCTGTACACGAACAGATATGTATCGATCAGCACATTTAAAAATGCAAGTGCGTTTACTCAAGAATATGGTCAGTAATATTATTTTAAAGACAAGTTTATGTTTCAAGTCTTAAAATTTCAGATACCTAAGAGGTGATGAAAAGACCTAGAAAGTGTTATCATATTAACTGATCCACAGTGGCCACATTTTACATGCAAAAACACATGCATACATAAAACAATTAAATCTAATGAAATTTACAAATGAACCTCAAAGGTAAATTAAACATGTAAGATCACAAGCAAAAAGAAAGCAAATCACTTTAAAAGACAAAAATGAATGCTTCTATTTTGACATTCTCCCAGTTGTTCTAGATAAATATTATGATCATGAAATGCAGACAAAGGTAAATCCTGTAGCGGGTATTTTTCTCAAAAGTTCTGGGTGTGAAGAGGGATTATATTGGATGAATGGTGATGCAAGAAGGATAATACTGTAGATTTTCAAAGACGAGGAAAAGAAACCAGTACAGACAACAAACACACACATGCAGGACTCAATAGTTCTGTTGGGTGAAGAGCACACAAAGAAATGTCTGGGTCATGTTCCACCCCAAAATCAAATGAATAACAAAGAATAACCTTTAACATGCATTATTATAAGCTGTAAATGCTAATTTCCACATATATTAATAGGTGTTACATTTTTTAAGTTAAAACTCAAATTTAACTAATGAATTTACATTAATGTACTCTGAACAATTAAAAGGGTATATTAAGAAATTAACATTAAACAAAACTAATAAGTGTAACAAATTGTATTTATTGTTAAGTTTATGATAACTACTAAATTAACTATTGTTAACAAATTGTACCATATTGTAAAACTGTACCGATAATATTTCTAATTTTTATAGTATTTCTAGCCCAAAAAATTTAAACATAAAATAAATCCAGATGGGAAAATATAATGGTAAAAATAGTATAAAATGTATTTTTTATTTCGGCAAAAGATTAATTTGAATTTGTGGATAAAAGTGACCAAAACATTTATTAACATTTGTCTTGAGATTCATCCTGTCAGAGAGCATCTGCATCAATGCATGAGGCTTTAAAGCAATGATGAATGAGAAGGAAATCTTGCACATTAAACACACAAAAAACTCATTCAGATCTATTAAATGAAAATTACTATACACATAAAACAGACAGGCAGGGGATGCTAACTAGAGGAAGTGTAGCACACATACATATACATGCACATCCATAGGCTGGGACGCAGTCAGAGGCGAGAGTGCCGATACGGGCGTAGAGGGCTCTACCTGACAGCTCGTCAGCTAGGGGAGTGAGGACAGAATCAGGCAGGAGAGGGTGTACGGGGTGGATCAGGACAGGTGCGCTTTTAGCACTGCGGATAAAGGTTGAGGACAGCAGACTGTCCCCTGTAGAGCAACTACGCAGAGCTACAGACCGCGCACACACCCAGAAAGAGAAAAAGAGAAGAACGACAAGAAGACGGAGAGTGTGAGAGAGAAAGGGAAATGGGGCAAAGAGAGATAAGGAGTGATAGAGGAACACAGGAGAAGTTAGGGAAGAGAAAGACATGATGGAGAGAGAGAAAAAGAGAAAGGGATGGCAGAAAGCAGTGAGCATTACAAACAAGAGGTAAAGAAGTGACCTTATCAGTGCATATCAGATCAACACTGACATACACATGAACATCATGTCACTGGTATATCTAGATTGTGAAGTTAATAGGAGAAACAAGACTTGTTAAAGACATTCCATCTTGTTTTGGATGAGTCACATGGCAGTGTTTTTTTAGCCTAAGGCTGCATTCCCATTTACAAACTATGTGCACTATGTAGTCTGCTAAATTAGGTGTTAGGTGACGTATATTAAGGTATTAATATTACAAAATAGGAATTTTTATCATCATACAGTGTTGAAAATAGTATGTGAAAGCACCCAGATGCTATGCAGTACACACAACTGTTCAAAAGTTTGGGATCAGTACGATTTTTTTTTTTTTTTTTTGAAGAAAATACTTTTATTCAGTAAGGATGCATCAAGTTAATCAGAAAGTTAAAGACACTTTTAATGTTACAAAAGATTTCTATTTCAAACAAATGCTGTTCTTTTGGACTTTGTCTTTATCAGCCTGAAAAAATGTATTACAAAAATACTAAGCAGCACAACTGTGTTTAACAATGATGATAATAAGAAATCTTTCTTAAACAGCAAATCAGCATATTAAAATGATTTCTGAAGGATCATGTGACACTGAAGACTGGAGTAATGATGCTGAAATTTCAGCTTTAAAATCTCAAGAATAAATTACATTTTAAAATATATTATAATAGAAAATAAGAGACTTCTTTCAAAAACATTTTAAAAATCTTAGCAACCCCAAACTTTTGAACAGTAGTGCATTATTGTACATCAGTCCATGCTTTATGGGTTAATATTACCCAGAATCCTTGCACTATTAAAAAAGGAGTTTGCGAGTTATTCAGCTTCACAATGTTGTAAGTATGGCCAAAATAGCAGTAGTAATAATGAATTTTACAGTAATGAGTTTAACTAGAAGCTAATGCACAATATATGCAATAGATTATATGGTATCAAAAGCGATTGTATTATATTATACTATCATAATACACTAACACAAGTGTACTACTGACAAAAGAGTGCATGCAAAATATGATGCAATATGTGCAGTCACATTTATCATACTTTGCAGAATTTTTGTGGGTGAAAACCAGTCATTTCAATAGAAATCCACTCGACCTGGAATATCGTGTTAGGATGAAATATTTTCCTAAGCAAATTTCGCAATAGGTTCAAGTTGGTTACGTGAATACACTATGTTGAAAAGCTGCTTGGTTTGAAAGTGATATCTGTTTAAGCGGTGCTTTATACATCTCTACACTATTGACAACAGACATTTTTGCCCACAAAATTTTGCCGAAATTACACTAATGTGACTGCACCTTAAAGTACATCGTTTAACACAATCATGTTCTCTCCTTGTAAATATCTTCATCTTTGCTCATCTTTGTCTTCCTGAACCAGGGTAACAGAGTAATGCAGATAAAAACATAAGCAAAGGTTGCACAATTTAAAGCAACCTAAAATAGGTTTAAACTGACAGGAAGAGAGGACAAGAAGGGTTTGAAACACACTCACCAACTGTCTTCTGTCTGACGATGCTTCTGGCCTTCTCGATGCCTGGTGAGCCAGCAGTGGTAGCGCTGCGCTGTCTCATGGCAGCAGCCTGGCCTGGTGGGTCTCGACTCCAGCCTTTGGAGAACGACCTATCCACAGTGATTTTCTGGCACTCATGGGCGCCACCTAGAGGTAGCAGGGACAAATATATCATTTATACTTGTGATAGTGAAGCTGGTATGAGAGCTTAAGTTTGCATGTTGTGCAACTACCTTCGTCTGTGTACAAGCATTAAAAGTATTCATTGTGATTTTGTATTTTTGTACAAACTCACCTTTGCCTTTGTGTTTTTTCTGTTTCTGCTCACTGAGCTTGTCCAGGGGCAGCTCGTTCAGGTCCAGGCTGTAAAGGTTGCGTGCTAGTACCTTGGTAAGTGTCTCCATGGTGAGGGACCACTCAGTGACCAGCTCCTCCCAGCAGGTGAGAGATGAGAGTACAGACAGCAGGTCATCCCACAGCTCCCGAGAGATGTACACATTCAGATTCCCTTTGATCCAGGCCACAATCAGAGTCTGAACAGGAAGACCGACCAAACAGAGTATGGACTACATCAGACACTTCAACATATAAACTAGAAATTATTTTAATTAATTTATTAAGTAATTAATTTAATTAATTATTAACTAGTTATTTTAGTTAATTATTTATATATTATATAGTATTTAATTATATTCTAAATTAGCTTTAATTTTTATATTTTCAGTTTTATTTATAAATTAAGTTTTAGTAATTTTATTTTATTTTTAAAGCTAACTGCTGTGGTATTTTAGTGGGGTGGTACCTGAAAAATGGCCCCAGCCAAACGGCCCGATAAAGTGTTACTCTTCTTCCCATGAGGCATAATAGATGGAGGCCTCTTCATCACACACTCAGTTACCCTTAGCAACACCAGCAAGATCTGCTCCCTGTGACAGACACAAATACACTCAGGATGAGCAGATATTACAAGCAGATACCTGAGACCAGAGTAATGAAGTGCAATGTCATGGTCATACCAGGTCTTCTGGTTCATGGTTTCATGCATGACCAGACTGCGGTATATATTGAGCACACGCTTGCACATGTCAACATGCTCTTCCAGAAGTGACTTCAGCTCATTGGCTGCCTCCAGAAGGAAGACGTTGGAGGAGTTGGTGATGAAAACCTGAAAGAAAAAAAGATTGTAGTGGTGAACTGAGACTGGAAGGAGAAATGTTTTACAAAACATTCCATGAACTGAACTCGGAAAAAATAATTAATAAAAAATAAACAGTCAACTATTTTTTGCAGGGTTTGAACCTACAATCTACAACCAACAATCTTTTGGTTTCCAGTCTAGATCGTAAACCACCTGTACACCAACACCTAAACTTACCTGTAGTGTGGCCTGGACACCAGCATGGACATTATACTCCAATACCTCAGAATCAGAGGATTTACTCCCAGAATTCCTACTACACCAATTAGGGTTTCGATTGTGAACGGACACCGTGAGCCCAATATCCTACACACAAAACAGAACAGACATTGACTGGTGTTTAAACAACAGCAGTACAGAATTAATAATATTAATTCTTAATATTAATATTAATAAGATAATTGCTTAGATGGTCAATATAAAAACATATGCTGTTTTATCTGTTTTATAAAAAAAATTATTCTATTATAACAAATAAAATAAATCTCACACTAAACTCCAATGTTGTTTTCAATGTTGTAATCATCAATGATATAATATAACATACTATAATATACTATTCTATAATGCACTGTAATATACTATAATATAATTTATATTATATTTAACACTTCAGTGAACCATTTAATCCTGTTTTAAAATAAACATACATACATACATACATACTGTAAATAAATACTATTTTTATACTTCAGAAACTTGGCTTAGAAAAAGTACACTTGGGGAAAAATAATCCCTTGATATAAGCTTCTTACATCAACTTAGCCAGACGGAAGCCAATAATTAAAAAAAAAAAGTGAATATTAGCCAATACCACCACTGTTATGCATGATGCAAAAAAACAGGGACCAAGCTGTTGTGCAGGCTGACTCAGCATGTAATAACCGCCTTTGCATTCCTCTGTTGTCAACTTCAGACACCTACCTCCTCCTCTTTATCAGTTCTCTGCTCGTGGGTGGAGTCCAGCTGGCTTGTGAATCGGTCTTCCTCTGGCTCTCTCATAAACACAGGCTTATCCTGCAGAGAGATCCACTCTTGATACAGCCGCACCACCTTACGCATGGCTGCAGCCTCACACATGGGCAGCAGAAACGCCTGCAAAAATATAATACAGTCTTATATTCACAGACAGAATCAGTGTACAGATAGTATATACTTAGGTATCAGTGACTAAAGAGGTCACACCAAAAAAAGGCTTTTGTACACATCAAGATAGGGCTGGACGATATGGCCAAAATTGATATCACGATATATTTCTTAATTTCGGTCGATACGATATAATTCCGATATCGATATGAACACTATTTATCTGAAATAGAAATATTTTGTAACATTATAAATGCCTTTATCATCACTTTTGATCAATTTTAAGCATCCTTGCTAAATAAAAGTATTAATTTCTATAATTTCTTTCCCAAAAAAAATAATAAAAATGATACTGAATGGAATAGTGTATAATGTTACAAAAGCTTTTTATTTCAGATAAATGCTGATCTTTGGATCTTTCTATTCATCAAAGAATCCAGAAAAAAAAATTTACTCAACTGTTTTAAATATTGATAATCAGCAAATCAGCATATTAGAATGATTTCTGAAGGATCATGTGACACTGAAGACTGGAGTAATGATGCTGAAAATACAGCTATGTATGATCACAGGAATAAATTACATTTTAAAATCTATTCAAAATAGAAAGCAATTTTAAATAGTAAAAATATTTAAACATTTTACTGTTTTTGCTGTACTTTGGATCAAATAAATGCAGTTATAGATTGAAACAAATGTGCTTCAGCCAGAAAAAAGGGTATGAAAAGTGCTCCGAGTCGCTGCAGAAAACAAAAAAATTGAACAACAACAAAAACTGGAAATGTTGCTGGAGACGGGCTTATTTAAAATGAAAACTCATTCTCTGCCAGCGGGAGGCGCTTTTAGAGTGATAAAACTAGCGGTTTCTCCAGTAATGGCTGTAATCAAAGCAGCTCCAATCATGAATGCTACTTTATCAGATCAAATGAAAATGCCATCGCAACTTTTCTGAAGACAGTCAATTCCCTTCAGAGATACATTCATATAAAACACCCGCGCCGTGTTATGATTTTGAAATGTGCAGTGCTCATGTTTATTCAACGAGGTCAAAAGGCACAGATAAATCAATGTATGGGAAACTGGTAATGTATATCGAAATATCAGAAATGTGTTTAAAAATCATATCACCGTTATTGAAAAAAATTATATTGCAATACATATTGATATTGAATTATTGTCCAGCCCTACATCAAGTGCACCATTTTGAATAGGGTCTTTGAGATCTTCAGAAAATGGGCCATTACAATCCTTATTCATGTTTAACAATTCTCACACAGCAGTTCCTCTTTGTGAGCTCCAATCACCTTAGGACAAAGAAGTCCCTGATCAGAACAATCAACTTCTCTCATCACAACTTCTTCAAAATGTGCCAGACTTCTTCCTCTTTCAATGATATTTAGATTTGCTGAAGTCCTTCTGTTCCTCATGATAGTTACCTGTCGAAAGATCTCGGTGATAAAGTTGACATTGGTTCTACAGGAGCACAGGACCCGGCGCACCACCTCAATGTCGGTGAGGTGTTCTTCGTCCATGCTGCAGAGGCTGGAGGAGCTGGGTTCTCTCTCCGTCAGGGTGCTGGTGTTGGAGTGCGACTGCTCCGGTTCGCCAGTTCCACCCCCATCCAGACCATCTGGTCTCAGGCCGCCATTCTCCCCTCGGGCAGCCAGGCCCGCTGCCGCTCTCTGAAACAGCAGAAGCATCGCAAAAACGTTCAGCTTGTTCAATGGTGTTGAGACAACACTAGGAGCTACCTGGGATTAAATGTGTAACTGTGTAGCAAGACTTTAAACTACAACCTCCCGGTTACCAGTCGAGACCTTAGAGGGATTGGTTCATCCAAAAATGAAAATTCTGTCATCATTTACTCACCCTCAGGTAATTTTAAACCATAAGACTCTGGTTCATCTTTGAAACACAAATTAAGATATATAACCTGAGAGGTTTCTGCCCCTCCATTAAAAAAGTCCAGGAAACCAAAACTTTGAAGATAAAGACACTGCAAAACAAATCCATATTAATTGATTTAATCAATGTCTTATGAAGAGATACAATCACTTGATGAATAGACTTAATTCAGGCTTTTACTTAAATATAAACATAAATACATGGAGTGAATTACATATGGTGCATCACATGCTAGAACACTGGTTCTTGTGTATCATGCATGCACATTTGAGCTTCCATGTTTGCCATATGTGATGTGCTCTATGTGTGTCGATCATTGTTTAGATGTAAATAAAAGCCTAAATTAAAGGCATAGTTCACCCAAAGCCGTTATGTCGTTTCAAACCCGTAAGACCTTCATTCATATTTGGAACAAAAATTAAGATATTTTTGAGGCATTCTGAGAGCTCTCTGACCCTCCCATAGACAGCAAGGATCCTTCCACGATCAAGGCTCAGAAACGTAGCAAGGAGATTGTTAAAATAGTCCATGTGACATCAGTGGTTCAACTGTAATTTTACGAAGCTACGAGAATACTTTTTGTGCAAAGAAAACAAAAATAACGACTTTATTCAACAATTTGTCTCCTCCGCGTCACCCTATAGCGCCATTTTGGAGAGTATCACGTACGTAAACAACGTATGCAACATATGTACGTGGATACGTTGTTTACATTCAGATCAAAGCTTAAACAACGTAAACAGCGTATCCGCATACGGTGCTGCTGACACAGAACAGCACATACGTGGAGGAGACGAATATTTGAATAAAGTCATTATTTTTGTTTTCTTTGCGCACAAAAATTATTCTCGTAGCTTCGTAAAATTATGGTTGAACCACTGATGTCACATGGAATATTTTAACGATGTCCTTGCTATGTTTCTGAGCCTTGATCGTGTATCCTTGCTGTCTATGGGAGGGTCAGAGAGCTCTCGGAATGCATCAAAAATATCTTAATTTGTGTTTCGAAGATGAACGAAGGTCTTACAGGTTTGGAACGACATGAGGGTGAGTAATTATTGACAGAATTTTCATTTTTGGGTGAATTATCCCTTTAAATCTGTTCATCAAATGAAGCAAATGTATCTCTTCACAAGTCTTGGACTAAAGTGCTTGATTCATAAGGATTCGTTTTACAATACCTTTATGGACCTTATGGAAGTTTGATAACCTGTAGATTTTCATTTTTGGATTAACTATCCCTTTTAAAAGTAACGCCAACCCTAAAACTACATTAAAACCATTACTGCATCATACATGTGAAGATCTGTGTGTTGCTACCTGGATGTTCTTTGGCACGTTTTCTCCTTCCATGCCAGGAATGTGTGTTCCTGTGTTTGACCGTGGCTCCAGCCAGAAGGAGACCAGCCAGCGGATAAATATGACTCTGGCATTAAGGAAGTTCTCTTTAGTGCAGTACAGGGCTTCATTGGTCTCTGGGTCTCTTTTTACAACTATGTAGTAAGGCTTTGGTCTCATGGGTGGAACCTCTATTATAAAACAGGACACAAACCCAAATTAGACAGTTTATCATCCTGAGCAATTATAACTTGCTAAATAGATCCTCAAAAACAAGCAGAAATAAAAATTAGGTTTGCTTTGACAAAGAAGGATTATCATTAACTCTTACCCAGAATTGGATTGTACAAACTGGTCTCCTTGGAGAAGTTGGGGAAGATATGGGGCAGGTAATACTTTTTGAAATTGGCGAACAAGAAGGCAAACCCCTTCTCGTGGTTCTCCTTGCACTTCCACTCTAGACTTTTGGCCTGTAGGGAGACAGAACACACATGGAAAGCTGAGCACAAACACAGCAGCTGGGACAGAACAGCCTGTTTGTGTTTGGTGGAGGACAGTGGGGTTGGTGGAGGCAGGCAGCGCGTGGTGCTGTTGTTTATGTTAGGGAGGGTGTGAAGCAGAGCAGCCGTTACAGCGCCAGGGAAACACATCGCTGCAGCAAGGGTATCTGGCATCAAATGCATGCAGATCTGGGGTCAGTCAGTGGCACGTAAGTTTGGTTTCTGCAACTTTAGCGTTGGGTCTGCGCCAGCCGTGTTAGCGTCAGCAGTGTTAGTAGGAGGAGGGGAGTACCTGGTTTACCATGTATTTTAGTAGAGCCTCCAGGAAGTAGCCAGTTAGATCTTCCTGGGATTTGTCTCCTGACTGGGGCGGCACCAGGGGACTGATCTCCTCTGGGGTCACTTGAGCTGCAGAAATGGACAAAAACATGTTTACTTTGAAGATACTCAACACAAATCTTCCAGCACAGTCCACACAAAACATTTATTGAAGCTAAACTGCAGAACTGAGCAATTCAGAAGTAGTTGTGGTTACGGTATCACAACAATGAGCCAGTGTTGTTATTAATTAACAACTAAAAAACTAAAACTATTACAAATAATGTGTTAATTGTGATCAATGTAAAGTTAAATTTAAATATTTGTTAAAAATATAAATGAATATTAGAAACGTTGCTCTGGCAACTAACAGACAATAAGTTTAAGTACTAAAATTATAATTAAATAACTAAAATAAAAAATAAATTAAAGCTAAATAGAAATAATAAACACTAGAAAAAAGACAAAAGCACTCAGTAAACTTTAAAAATTAAACTAAAATTTAAATTAAAACAAATAATTCAAAACATTAATAAACACTTTAATATAGCCAACAAAGGTAATTTAAATAAGTCTTAAAGCTACAGAGGCAAAAAAACTTTAAATTTTAAATGTCAGTGAGGGGATGGAAAATGAAAAATTAAATTGACTATTTTGGTGAGAGAAATCTTGAATAACATTAAACATGTCCTTTAGAGACTAAAAAAAAAAATACTACAAAAGTATAAAAGAAATGTGTGAAAAAAAAAAAAAGATGTGAGAGACTGCAAACAAACACTCACGCTCCTGAAGGTTAAGGGGAGGGCTGATCAGATTATCCAGGGTTCGAGGGCCAAGCTCGGACTGTGGTGCAGGGAATCCAGGGATTAGACAGGCGAAAATCCAGAGCTGCTCTCGCAGAGTGTTGTGCTGCAGAGCCTGCATCCACAGAAGGAAGAGACGCACCCCTTCCCTCCGGATCTATACACCAAACATACAACCATATTATTGGTTAAAATGATTTTTAGCAGCCTTCACAACCTTGGTTATGTCAGCAAAAAAAAAAACCCTTAATAACATGTACTGAACAATTATGCACTCTAAGACAAAACCATTTAAGAAATTAAGGATTTCAAAATATTTATTTAAAATTAAAAACAAAAGAACAATAATCACTCATACAATGACAATGTTTATTGAGATTTTGACCTTTTATATAATGTAAATTATGTAATTATTTAGACATTTAATACCTTTAGGGAGTTTCCAGTGTGTAGCAGTTTCTTCAGAATTAGACCTATGAAGCAACACAGTAGTTTAATCTGAGGAACAAATTCATAGCTTATAAATGAGCTGGCTTACTAGATAATTCTGGAAAACATGTTTGCTCTGGTCTCTTTGCTTATAATCTGTCAGTGATGTTTATTTGTTTGTATGGAATGTGGGTTTATTAAGAAAAGAGCAAAGTAAAATAAATCTGAAAATCCTTCATGTTATTGTTATGGTCACATATTGTTTATCTCACTGATGAAGGACTGTAATGTCAGAGTTCTCGGTCAGATCTGGGTGTTTCTGGGCCCCAGGTCCTTGGCATTCTCTGTGTTTATCTTGGTGGTCTGTGTATCCTTCTGCTAAAAGACTTCAGAGCAGAGGAAAAGGAGAGACCACCGGACAATACAAGATATTAAGACCATCTCAACCAGGCACAAAGTATCACCATCAGATCTCTTCCATGTGAAATTAAGTTTTCTGCCCTATCTATATGTGACTTGGTTTCTGTTTTGGCTAAGCCCATAGTGAAAGCTCATTAGTCCAAAGCTACACTCCATTTACACTACCGTTCAAAAGTTTGGGGTCAGGAAGACTTTTTTTTTCTTTCTCAAATTAGTACTTTTACTTCAGCAAGGAAGCATTGAATTGACAAAAGCAATGGTGAGGACATTTATAATGTTATAAAAGATTTCTATTTCAAATAAATGCTTTTTTTTTACTTTCTATTTATCAAAGAATTAAAAAAAAAACAGTTCCACAAATATATTAAGCAGCACAACGGTTTTCAACATTGATAATAATAAGAAATGTTTCTTGAGCGGCAAATGAGCAAATTGTAATGATTTCTGAATGATCTTGTGAAACTGAAGACTGGAGTAATGGCTGCTGAAAATTCAGCTTTGCATCACAGGAATAAATGACATTTTGAACTATATTCAAATAGAAAACAGTTAGTTTAAATTGTAAAAACTGCAGCCTTGGTGAGAATAAGAGACTTCTTTTAAAAACCGTATCTACCCCTAACTTTTAAACAGCAGCATTTACAAAAGTAGAAATGTTCACCTATGCTGTGGAACTGCCATCTTCCTTGTATTCGCTCTGGTAACAGCTGTAGGATTTTCTGCAAGGTAAGCACATGGATTTGACTACAGACATGCCTTTATATGTACTCATGTTAGCACATGCATTTAAACAACTCAGTCAATGTAACAAAGGATGGAAAAATGTTGTGAGTGTAGCATATTTTTACATTTCAAAACAGATGAACAGATTTGTGCAAACACGCATTACTGGACTTCCTTGTGACATTGAAACAGGCTGGGATGTTGCAATAGCTCTCCTACACGCAGACATCATGCCTGTCTCGTCATGACGGGGCATCTGAAGTGTCTCCAGCCTTCACCATTACAAACAGCCCATAGGGGCATAACCAGGTGAGCAAAAGCTACAGCGTGACTCATAAGAAGCATTTAGGGTGTGGTAAAGAACACCTGTTTTCTGTGTGAGAGACTCACAGTTATCTGTCAGGTGCACGTCAATCTCTCTTATCAATGATCTCATTACTGATGCAACTGATGCCTCGGTAAATATGAACTTAGTGGATCACGTAACAGTGCGAACATTCATATTGCGCCAGATGGGAGTATGTGAATGAGAGTTGACACAGGAGAGAGTATCACAATGAAATCAAAGCTGATGAGGTTGAACTAATGCGTTTAAATAGCCATCAATGATTATCTATATTTCTTACCTCAAAAATAAAAAGAATAGAATCAAGCTCTTCTCTTTGCGATTTGTGACCTGTAGGAAAAAGAAAAACGAACACAAAACATACTGAACATCACCAAGGGATCACAGAAACCCACAGGGCTGCTATTAATAGTTCAACAAACAAGGATTACGTATCTCTGCTGGAAACATGGGACACTCAACATGTGGCATCAAGACCAGGAGCTCAAAACAATCTTTTTAATCAATTTTATTGAAAGATGCACAACTGTTGAGTAAAGCAAGAGAACAATTTTTTGGCTTTCAAGATTTTATACATTTAAGTTGGCACGACATTGAAATTAACCCTATCTATTTTCAAAATGCAAGTTATGTGTCTTATTGTGAACAATTCATTCATATATATATATAATATATATATATATATATATATGTTTATTTTATTTTATATTTTAATTTTTTTGTAGACCTTGTCACTTTTAATCCAAATGACATAACTTGATATTCTGAAATGACAGACTTTTGCCTGGTGACTTATGTCATAATTTTGTCCACTTAAATACGCCTTTCTAACAAACAGACTAAGCTCGCATCTGATCTGCCTTCATTCAATCAAGAACCAGTGGATAAAACCAAGATCTCCAAGATTTCTTTTTCAATAATCCATTTCACTCAGAAATTTTCTGACATTACTTTCGTTTCATTGCAACTTTAAGAACCTACTCTATGAAAAAAACATAATTCATAATGCAGTGCAAATGTTGTCAATGCAAGCTAGGTCCTCCTACAGTTATCTTTCTCTTTCAGGTCAGCTACTGTAATGGTGGTACAACAGTCTGAAAAAAGTCTTGCTGAACAAGTTAGTTAAACTTAAACTCTCAAGGTTTCTAGCCAACTATCTGAATAATAACATATCTGTTTTTATTGGCACAAAGAGTAAGACAAGAACGCATATTAAGTAAGTGGCAAAAGTTAAAGCACCAAACCCATTCCACCTCTCTCACCCTTTCTATCCTTTCCACATTTGAGTGTCCTATAAAATAAAAGCAAACTACCTAAAAAATGAAATTATAAAGAAAGTACGTGGGGGGAAAAACTGGGACAAATGCTTGTACCGAGCAATCTGAACAACGTGAACCGTAGCTGCAACAGAACAAGACAAAATGTTAAGACATCAAATGAGAGATCAAAGGCAGTGAGCAGCTCTTTGAATACTCAATGAGCAACTGTGCAGTGTTCCAAGACACTGGCTGTGCTCTCTGTGCACTATAATGAGCCCGTGTGACCGGACATGGCTAACTGGGGGCTGGCTAATTTTCGTCATAAGCCATTTCATGGAAACTTGCTTATTAACACTGTGACTTCTGACTATGTGTTTGCTGAGAGCACACAATGAGTAGGCCAGCTGAAAAACAATGCATTCGAAACCTGAAAACCATTAAACTATCAAACAACAGTGCAGAGAACATTCTCACGAGACAGTGGGTGAGAGATACAACGAAGAGCCGCAGGTCTTACCTTTCTGTTTCAGGTTAACCTCGATGGTGACGAAGTTTTCAAAGAACACATAGTAGATGTGGGAGTAATTCTGCTCGAAGAGGTGTTTGAGTTCAGCAGGCTCCGCATTTTCTACAAAAACAAAAAAAACAATGAATCAACTAGTGATTTTAGGAGATGTTTTTTTTTCTGAAATCACTTTTGTAGAGTTGTACAATTTAAAACTGATTGATTTTCTTGGTGTTGTTTTAAAAGGAAAAGACATGTCTCAAATAATTAATGTAAGATGTAAACTTCTTGGAAAGCACTTTATTGTGCTAATACTTTAGTGTGCAATCAGTCAGCAGCACTGACAAACGCTCTCGGATAAGTTTTGTCTCTTAACAAATGTTTGGATGCCAAGAACCCCCAAATATGATAATCCCATTGCAGTGGACCCCACTGAATAAATGTAAAGGCAGCTAGCTACATATTTTGATGTATAACAGCCCATTTATACTGTGTGTGAGAAAAATATTATTAAGAGTGATAATAAGCCAACATGTTGTTTAAAAATACAATAACTGGCTTTTATACTGCCGTTGTACTAAAGCAAATTATGAAAATATTATCTTGAATTTTTTGTCATCTAGTTGACTGAGTAATCTTTCATGTATAAGTATGGATATAAATATTTTCGATTCACATAAATTTGATTTGTGCAGCACTTTTCACAATAAATATGACTCTCAGTGGTTTTACAGAGAACCATGTCCTACAAACTCCAATAAACAAGATAAAGACAGCAGTGGCAAGGGAAGAACATCTGAACAAACGTACACAAATGCCCACTTGTTGCTGCTTTCCTTCACTATCTGATCCAACTCATGCTTAATATCTTAAGCGTGGCCGTGGCTTAATTAAAATGTTAGTTTTATGAAGAAAAGCATGCAAAATAAATGCATACTTTATATTAATCTACAAACCAAATTTCATGCATTTATGAATAAACTTTTAGATCAAAAGATCTCCAAGATCTTGAGAAAGAAATATTAGGCCTATGTCATTGTGTACGGTGTAAAATGCCCCTTTATGCTTTGTCTCTCTTTCATGAACACAATCTGTCCGGCTTCAGATTGGTCTCTTTCAGAAATCAGGATGTGAGCGGATCTCTTTACTGATGCTGAAGTCTATTGCAAGCCGCAGCCCAGCAACACAAGTCAATATTTGTACTTTAAAGCTCCTCCACACAGTCCAGCTCGACTCATCACCCCTAATGCAGCTGGTCCTGGTCGCACGCTCACGCAGCATCCAGAGACCTCAGTCAAGTGCCCGCTCCAGTCTGTTTATAGATCTGGGAGCCAGCATGAACACCAGAGCCAACACAGAGACCTGGTCCAGATAAACACTGATAAATATTCAGACCAAGGGTTACTTATGCCATTACGGAGACAGCATAAGCAGTTGAGGAGTCATACTTGTTCGGCAAATCACTTTGGGCTATGGGCATACTAGAAATACTGAGAGAGTAAAAATACTGTTTGAACTTCTCAAAAATGATTCACTCTTGCCTGCAACCCACAGAATGAGGATTGTCTTTTATAAAGAGAATACAAGGAAAACAGAAAGAAACAGGAGAAACATGAGAAACGTACTGTACAAGAAAGCATGCACAATTGCACGTTTTTTTATTGCCGTTTTCAAAACCTGATGTTTTTATTAATGCATTTTTGTCATGTCACTTTCAAAAACACCCTATTTATAAGGGCATTATTAGTGATGTGCAAATAAAACAAAATATTATTTTTTACATGCACATTACTAAATTCATTATTTTTGTTTTTGGTTTATGTTTTATAGTAATTGACAACAGTATTATTTAGGGATGTCAAAAATAATAATGCTATAATAAAATATAATATTTCTAAATGAACATTATTAATAATATATTAATAGTTATTTTTGTTTAGAAACCATTTGAACTTTGATTTATTAATAATTTGATCTCTTTGGGTACACAGTTACAAAAATCCTCACAATGTCCATCCCTTATTCAAACTGACAATGACTAACATTGCAGTAGTGAACCAGAGCCCTACGAATTTTACAGATTGTGATGTATTTCAAAAATCTTTGAGAACAGACAGACGGAGGGGAATTTTGGCTTAAACTACACAACATGAGAGAGAACAGACCAACGGATGGTGCTACACTGGCTGTCGGAAATATTTGTGATCTAAAATAGAACACAGCAGCGAGCCCAAGTGCCTGATGGTGTATTAGAATCACTCAAAAGATAATGGCCCTCATCTTTAAAGATGAACTGAACACCACGAAAAGAACAATGCCACAGATGCTCCCAAACTGTCAATCTCAAAGAATGCACAATGTATGAGGGTGCAGAACTAAATACAATCCTTTTGATGTCAGGATGTTGCCATGTGGTTGCTAGGTAGACACTTTCTAACCAAAGTTTTTACTTTGGTTAGAATTAGGGCTGCACGATAAATCGCATGCGATATTTAACGCGCATCTTATCAGTAAAGCCGGTTCTGTAATCAGCGCACGTGATGGACATTTACCGCTGATTAGAGAACCGGCTTTCTGACAAGATGCGCATTAAATATCGCATGCGATTTATCGTGCAGCCCTAGTTAGAATGTAAGTCTATGGGATTTTTCAATCATAATTTTAATTGCTTAGAAAAGCAATAGTATACCTCTTCTTAATGAGAAACCTTTAATATCCATAGTACAAATGGTGCAAGTCAAATTACATGTACTTTTTTAGTTTGTTCAAATCTCTAACCCTAAGCATGCTCCGTAGTAATAGTGATGCAGTCATTTCAATATCTGTATCAATCAACCTTAATATCTGTGGTAGTTCACAAGTTATTGAGTGTGCAGCAATCTGTTGAGAGCCCATTTAATGATTGACTTCACATAAAATATGATTGTTGTTCACATCAGCAATCCTCAAGCCCAGCATGCTAAGGATGCTGACTGATCTGTTGCACAGAAAGGCTAATGTACTGATGCAGAACTTCAGCAGACTACAGTCCGAACTAAATACACATTATATTCACAAGTTCACACAGTTCAAACAGTCCCACTTGCATTCAAATAACAGGTAGTTCTTAAAATCTCAAACAGTGTGTTTCCTATCAGAGCCATTTCTCTGCAAACACACCCATCCGTTTATTTAGGCTACTTCACTTCCTCAGGTCCCCCAATGCACAAAAGCTGTTGTGCACAGGCTCTGATCTAGGCCACAATAAGTGGATGCATGAAATGAATAGCGTTTCATATGTGAATGTTGAGCCTATCATTTTATAGAGAAAAAAAAAAATGGACAAAACATAATAAAAATGCCCCGTTGCTGTAAATTCAGGGTGGAATCAGCTGGGACATGGTGATACAACATTAAATCAATATCTGGGTCATGATACCATAATATTTAGCAATTCTTCATGTTTAGTGCATTTAAACTTATATGCAATCTTTTTCACACTCACTTTTTGGTGCATTGTGAAGGTACTTGTTCAAAACTAAGATTTTATGCAGAAATGAATACTTTTATCCAGCAAGTACACAATAAATTGATCAAAAGTGACAGTGAAAACATTTACAATGTTATAAAATGTATATTTCAAATAAATGCTGCTCTTCTGAACATCCTGTTCATGAATGAACAGTAAAAAAATATATATCATACTTTCCATAAACGGTGATATTAAGCAGAACAACTGTTTTTAACACTGATAATAAAAAATAAAATGATTTTCGAGAACCAAATCAACATATTAGAATGATTTCTGAAGGATCATGTGACACTGAAGACTGCAGTAATGGCTGCTGAAAATTCAGCTTTGCCATCACAGAAATAAATTACATTTTAATATGTATTAATATAGGACCCTGTTATTTTAATTTGTAATAATTTTTCAAATGTTACTATTTCTTTTTTGTATTTTTAATAATTAAATAATTGCAGCCTCGCCCTCGGTGAGCATAAGAGACTTATTTTTAAAACTAAGCCCAAGCCCAGACTTTTAAACAGTAGTGTATATTCAGCTCTTTTTTTTTTGTCCAAAATGAACAAGTAATGCTACCACATGTTTACTGACTCTTTTCCCCTAAATATAAATGTAAAAAATGTAGCTGACTAAAAATACTGATTTTCTGCCATGTAAAGAATACAATATAGTGAGGCAGTAATGCAATTTTTCTAAATCCCCATTATTTTTTACTCACCTCTTCTTTTGAAATACACCTTTAAAAATAATTAATCAGTCACATTACAACATAAATGCATATCATTTGATGTTACACAAGTGTTACTATGAAACAATCACAGGCACAATGACATTTTAACAATTCCTTTTTCACTGTGATGGAGGCAGTTTCCTTGCCATTCATAGCATCATCACATAGTTTTCAGTTTCTAAACAATCATCAGCATAACACAATGGCACCAGGAAGCCAGATAACACCACAGAAAGCAATTCAGGAAAGGGGGTCGTGATTGGACAGTAACCACTTCAGGGCAGGCCAACATCTCAAACAGGACTCTTTAACCACAGACACTGACTGCACCTTCACTGAAGAATCTGCCATGTTACATAAACCATCCTCATGTCCAACATTCAGGAAGTCAGTGCAGCTTTAAAGCTAAACAACTCAGGAATCTGAGGGAACCAGCCTTAGAGAGACTCCTTCTCTGACTTCCTTGACAAATCCCAAAGGAAGTGCTGGTTTATTTCTGTTACTCTGTGATGTCCCACCCAGTCCTGAAGAACCATATCTTTGCTTTCCCCCAGCAAATTTTACCTTTATTGATTTAAGAATGACAGACCATAAACTTGACAGTTCTTGTTGATATTGAGAGACTGTAAATCTGCATTTACAGATTTTTTCCCAAATGCTTTGGCTCAGTTCTTCAATAGGATTTTATATTTCTCAAAACAATAAGTTCAGATCTCTGAACAATTAGTTTTTGTTCATACCAGATTTGAATTTCTTATTAATTTAATCATATTGCATGTTTTGGCAAATGTGTGTAAAAGAGTCAATATAATTGTTTACAATTAGCAGAATGCACATTTGCATGCTGATCATCATAACTGATTATTTGATTCTCAGTCAAAAATTCTGTCATACAACTTCATTCAATTTCAATCGGGTGAGCGACATAAAAAATGGCTGATTCAAATTAGTTACTCTGTGATGTCCCACCCAGTCCTGAAGAACCATACCTTTGCTTTCCCCCACCCAAAACATGAACTTATCTCCAGCAAATTTTACCTTTATTGATTTAAGAATGACAGACCATAAACTTGACAGTTCTTGTTGATATTGAGAGACTGTAAATCTGCATTTACAGATTTTTTCCCAAATGCTTTGGCTCAGTTCTTCAATAGGATTTTATATTTCTCAAAACAATAAGTTCAGATCTCTGAACAATTAGTTTTTGTTCATACCAGATTTGAATTTCTTATTAATTTAATCATATTGCATGTTTTGGCAAATGTGTGTAAAAGAGTCAATATAATTGTTTACAATTAGCAGAATGCACATTTGCATGCTGATCATCATAACTGATTATTTGATTCTCAGTCAAAAATTCTGTCATACAACTTCATTCAATTTCAATCGGGTGAGCGACATAAAAAATGGCTGATTCAAATTATATATATATATGTATAATACTTGAATACACCGGTTAATACACCTAACAAGGGAGTGTCAATTATTTATTTGAATAACCATTAAACTTAATAAAAAAAATAAGTCGAAATGTGCATGCAGAACATCTGCTCAACAGATTCACTGACATCTAAAGAGGTTTCAGTGAAACCAATGCATGTGTCATATCAAAACAACACCCACTGCAGACATAAAAACACTCAACCATACAAAAGAACGACACAAAACACTATAAAACCACTGCAAATCTGGCCACGCTTCTAAATGCAAACCTGTCAATAATTGTCAAATGATTTCAAACAAAAAATACTGGTAAACACCCCATTGCTGATGGTGCCTTCATTCTCCTGTCTATATAGCATGTTAGCTCCCTGCAAGGCAACATTGGGACCATAAAATGAGTACAAATAATGTTATTTCTCACCAATAACGATTCTCAGATGTTTCAATCTTGTCAGCACGTCCTTCTTGGGGTCCAGCACTTTCTGTGTCGATTTCCTGACATCTCCATGAGTTTTTTTAGAGAACATTCCGAGATGTTTTGAAGAGCTAATGATAATCTTCCGTTAATTCCCTCAAACATGGAAGGGCTTGTCAGATTTACGGCTCGAAAGGTGTTATGGGTTGTAAGGAAACTTGAGGAAATAGAGGTGAGGCGTGCATTTTTGCAGAGGAGGTCAGACAAAAGAAAAGAGCAGCCAGCCCTCCTCTGTGTGTGTGTCTTGTGAACTACACACACACACCTCTCTGAAGATCTGAAAACATGGCGGAGGACGCGATATGAAAAGCACCTTAATCGAAGCCAGAGTCATTCAACGCTCAGCCGTCATCTGAAGCACTACCACACACCAGAATCGACAGGACAAGAGAAACATTACACATTCATAAACAATATTTATTAATTCATTTTTAACTATCAATAGATGATTGGACTTCATATTTGACAAAAAAAAGTGTAAGACATTTCTAAACTGTTATAATGAGATATGTTTATTAGCCTTTATGTTTTTGCATTCATGTTTTTTTTGTTTGTTTTATGTAAGCTGTTTTAATTAATATACCATTTTCTGTTTATCATTGTATGTTTTGCCTTTGTGGCTCAATAAAGTGTAAATATATATTTGTTAAAACTGAATTATATCAATTTATTGTGCTCATTTCTTCAAGACTGAAAAAAACGACTTTCTCTGCAGGAAAAAACTGAAAAAATGCATAAAGTACAAAATAAGCATCTTTTTGTGGTGTTTTATTACATATTTAAAAATATAAACATATACTTAAATGTATAACTTAAATATAACATATACTTTAGAGTGAAATACATGATTTAATTAAATAATCAATTAAACCTCAGAATTTAACCTCTTTTTAAAGTTTGCACGTTTCACCCCTAGAGGTTCCAGATTTGTAATAATCATAAGATAATAGTGATATAAGTTGTAAGCTGTTTCCCTGCCCTGATACTGTTCTGTATTAGTATATTCTAGCAAACAAGTAAAATAAATGAATGAATGAAAACACAATAAAACTTCAAACTTTATCTTCATTGTTTAGTTTTTCCAAAATAGGAAAAAAAAAGTATTTGTGTACTTTATATATAATTTTTTTTATTTTGAGTGACATATTCCTTTGAGAATAAATTAACATAAAAAATTAAATAAAAACTTGACGTAAAAAACCATACATCAAAAGAAATAGGATTATGATCATGTTTGGAGATTCTGAATTATTGTTGCATTGTGAAATTGTCTGAAAATGAAATTGGTTAAACTGGTTAATAATAAATGATATTTTATAAGTTTACTTAATACAGCATTTAAAACAACACAATCATTTCATCCAGTCGTCCATTGATTTATACAGCCTGTATTTGCAGCCGTAAACACGCTCTCCCACAGGACGAGTGACGACGGGGAACTGTAGTTCACTGTAGTCCACTAAGAACAATAGTACCGGAAGGATCGGTGTCACCATAAAAACTACAAACCCCAGAGTGCTACAACAGCGCACATTCCGCGCCAGTGTCCCAGCTTTTCAGAGGGTGGCATGGCTTAAAAAACAGCAAAACAGAGGGGTTTTTGTGGTTTGCAAATTATTAAAATAGGTCAAGCGATTTAATAAGCAAGAGCTGCCTGTTTTCTTTTCATCGTATCTAGACTAATCGACAACTACTGGTAATTTGCAGGATTTGAACGTTTGTTAGCATGATACATCTAGATGTGTATATTGTCTGTTTTGTTTTTAGCAATAACATCAAGCTAACAAACACATCTGCTCACATAAAAGATTGATTTAAAGGTGAGAAGTAGTTCAGTTGATTTCTCGGTAGTCTAAGTTTAAAAAAGACGGGATGCCAGTGCATTCGAGAGAAAAGAAGGAGAGCAACCATGAAGAGATGGAGGTGGATTTCGCAGAGCAAGAGGGGAGCAGCTCAGAAGATGAGGATACAGAGAGCTCTTCTGTCTCTGAAGATGGGGAAAGTTCAGGTGCGAATGAGACTTTTGATTTTCTCTAGGAAGATATACAGGAATAGATGGAAACATGTTAAAATGCATTGCAATACAAGAACCATGCAAAGAAGGGTTTGTTTCTTTAGATGAGCAGATTTGGAGAAATTTCAAAAATTTCTTACATAATTTGCTCACCAGTAAATCCTCTGCAGTGAATGGGTGCCGTCAGAATGAGAGTCCAAACAGCTAAGTCTTCCACAAGTCTTTCATGTGACCCAAGCCCATCAATTAATGTATTGTGACTACATTCTCATTCTGACGGCACCCATTCACTGCAGAGGATCCATTGGTGAGCAAGTGATGTAATACTAAATTTCTCCATATATGGTTTGATGAAGAAACAAACTCATGTACATCTTGAATGGCCTGATGGTAAGCGAATTTTCATCAAATCTTCATTTTTGGGTGAACTATTACTTTAAATGAATAAAAAAGAAACCATTTTTTACTCACAGAAATGGATGATGAGGACTGTGAAAGAAGAAGGGTGGAATGCATTGACGAAATGACAAATCTAGAAAAACAGTTCACTGACCTCAAAGACCAGTATGTACCATCCTCTTGTTTGTATTTAATCTGTGCATGAATATGTTATTTACAAGTGCATGCAAACTTTTCTTTAGGTTATATAAAGAGAGACTGAGTCAAGTGGATGCCAAACTTCAGGAAGTGATGTCGGGAAAGGCATCAGAGTACCTGGAACCCCTTGCAAATCTTCAGGAGAACGTGCAGATTAGAACTAAAGTTGCAGGTCGGTCTGAAGTCCAAACTGAACATGGGATTATTGTTCTTTGAAATTGTGCATTTATATGAGTTTTGTTTTTTAGGTAAGAAAGTGCATTGTCTCATTGTTGAAATAATACATTCGTGCATAGGTGTCTACAGAGAATTGTGCTTGGAATCAGTGAAAAATAAATGCGACTGTGAAACCCAAGCAGCGTTCCAGCACTGGGAGGTGAGCTTTACACATGTAATCTGCTATTACCTAAACAAGGTGCATGTCTGAAATGTCTTGTTGAGTCATCATAACAGAGCCATACAGGAGTATTTATATTACTCGAAGCTGTTTTATACTCTAACAGCACTAAAAGCCTGCCAGTAGGGCTGCACGATTAATCGAATGCGATTGTCATGCGCATTTTGTTAAAAAAGCCGGTTCTGTAATCAGCAGCAAATCATCATCACGTGCTTTCAGATGGAGCAGAATTTACTACACATAGCCATAGTTCACTGACAAGTTACGCAAAAAAAATCGCAGACGATTTTATTGCGCGATTCTGAAATCGTTCGCGATAATGACAGCTGTTTGCATAGCTTCTCATAGCTTCTCATAACTACGGCTCTGTGAAGTAACTGCTGCTCCATCTGAAAGCATGTGAAAATACCACATTTAATAACATATTTTTACGCCAAACTCACTTCATAACGTCAGTCGAGTATAAATAAATCCCGCTGTGAGATGATGTGGCTTCTTACACAGAATAAGGCACGCAACATATTTCATAGTATTTAAGCAGTGATAAAGGCATTGCATTATAAATATACTTTATTTTAATGAAAATTATAATAATAAGAACCCAGATAAACCGTATATTGCCGTAGTCCTGTGTTTATTAGTCACGTTGAATCAATGAAAGCAGTTGAATCTTATGTTTATTCAGCTGCAGCGATTTTCTGGGTTTCTTCTGCGAGGCGTATTTGGAGTTTCAGCGCGAGAGCGCCCTCTGGCCTTTGGATGGAGATTTACTGCTGATCACAGAACCGTGCTTCACTGAAAGATACGCATGACAATCGCAGCTTCTGTCGAATCGCGATCTCGATTCCATTTCGATTTATCGTGCAGCCCTACCTGCCAGTTACCACATTAAAACATGCATCTATTTAAACAAACTTTCAAAACTAAATACAATTCTAATTTGTTTCATTTGATCTCTTCTAGAGTGAAAAACTGTTATTATTTGATACGGTGCAAAGTGAACTAGAGGAGAAGATCAGACGTTTGGAGGAAGACCGTCACAGTATAGATATTACCTCAGGTATTGAAATTGTGAATACTGTCACAAATCATTTCGTTTTTTGTGTTATTTATACAATCTTTGTCATATTTCCCCTACAGAGCTCTGGAACGATGAGTTACAATCAAGAAAAAATAAGAAGAAAGATCCCTTCAGTCCAGACAAAAAGAAAAAGCCTGTCGTTGTGTCAGATATCCTTTACTTCAACATGTTGTACATACCTATAATCATCAGTCTATCCAGAATTTGCTTGAAAAGTCTGTCATTTGTACGTTTCTTAACATGTGCACGACCATATATAGTTTACATGCTGCAAGACCTGGATATACTGGAAGACTGGACTGCTATTAGAAAGGTTAGACTGTCAAAAACAGAACCCCTTTTTTCTATGAAATGATTATTATTGTAAAGTAAATGATGTGTTTTGTTAATATCTTGTAGGCCATGGCAACATTAGGACCTCACAGAGTAAAGACCGATGGTAAGATCATATCTATTAGCTACTGTGTTTAATTTTCATAACTATATTGAAGTAAATTATTCTTCTAATGTAATATTACATTATTTATTAGTTAAATACTAAATACTACAGTTCAAAAGTTTGGTCGGTTTGGTCTCTTACGCATTTATTCGATCAAAAACACAGTAAACGTAGTAATATTGTGAAATATTATTACACTTTAAAATAACTGTTCTCTGTTTTAATACATTTTAAAATGTTTTTTTTTTTCCTGTGATGCAAACCTGAATTTTCAGCATCATTACTCCAGTGTTCAGTGTACATGATCCTTCAGAAATCATTCTGATACACTGATTTGCTGCAAAAAAACTAACAAAAAACATTTCTTATTATTGTTAATGTTGAAAACATCTATGCTGCTTAATATTTTGGTAAAAATTGTGAATTTTTAGGATTCTTTAATGAATAGAAAAGTTAACAAAATCAGCATTTATTTGAAATGGAAAACATTTGTAACATTATAAATGTCTTTACTGTCACTTTTGGTTAAAATAAGTATTCATTACTAAACCAAAAAGTAAACTGTTGTAGAAATTCCCTATAGTGACCTTGAACAAATACTTCTAAGTCCCTTTTGCTCTGGTTAACTTCCTGGAGTTTTGGTGCATAATGACCCCATTTAACTCTTAAGTGGTAACCTATTAACAAATGCCAGTTAAATATAGACCCATCATGGTTGTGTAGTTGCTGCAGCTATATTGGTTTATCCTATAGGTTGTTTATTATGTAATGTTTAAGTTGTTTTTTTGTTACATTAGTAAAAGCAGAACTTGCATAATTTGCTCTAGGCTCTTCAAAGAGTGACAAACACCAGCACAATGCTCGCTCAGAGGATGGACGCTTGTTTTACGACGGGGAATGTTACAGCCGTGGACAAGCCATATGTATCGACAAGAAAGACGAGTATCCTACGAGGTGAGGGATCCTGAATTACCAAGCTCATATTGATTATTTTGCAGCTCATTTGTCAGTTATTTTCCCTCTGTCTTCTGTTTCAAACAGCGCTATAATAACTACAATCAATCATGATGAAGTCTGGTTCAAACGAGTCGATGGGAGCAAGTCAAAACTCTACATCTCACAGCTTCAGAAAGGCAAATACACCATAAAACATGCCTGAGATATGACCAGTCTATGTTTAATAGTGCCATTTTATGTACAGTATATCATGATTTAAATACCTTTTTTGATGTTTAAAAACAGATACGTTGGTGTATTGTCTGTCTTTTCAAATGTGAGGAAAGTTTGTTATTTTATTGTATATTCAATGCAACGCCATTTGAAAGATTATTACACCAAACAGGTCAAAAATGTAGTATAATTACAGGTGTAGTTATTACCATGAAATGTGGTGCTTTTGTATTTTGATGACTGGGCTCATTTTCCAACCCAATTTTTGAACCCAATTCTGATGTGTGTAGTAATTTGTAATGCCATGTCTGGCTAGCAAATGGTTTCCTACTTTTTTACATTTCTGCCTCATCACTGTGTTCAGATACAAATGATATGAAACAGTTTGTGTTTGGCTTTTTTTCCTGACAGTGTAATGAAACGGTCTTGCTTGTGCAACATCTTATATGAAATACAGATATTTGACGTATTTTAGGAGTGAATAAACAAGCCGTTATCACACCTTTTCGGAGTCTCAGCTCTTTGAACAGCTGTTTATTGTGTTCTAAGAAGATGTGATCTTGCTGCTCTATTTACAGTCTAAACAAGTCATATGTATATATGGTGAATACTTTATATAATTCATTGTAATGTGCATTTCAGCTCTGGTCATTAGTTCAGTGTTCTTTTCTATGTTGGGTTATAGCACCACCCTTTGGTTTTTGTTGTACTGTGCCTGTTGTTTTTTATTTCTTGATTTTCCTGATTCATACATATTTTTGAGAAGTCTGTAAATGTATTTTTTTGAGTTATTATGAATTTACATGGAACAAAATTTCAAATACAGCATTCTATATCAGAACGTTGTTGTCCTTTATATATGACACAGTTCAATATATGTCCACAATCCACTTAGAATAGAAATATCATGGGTTTAAAAAGAGTCAGGGAAGTAGTTCTGTAATGGAAAGGTGTGTAATGTTATAATCTTTGCAAAACCAAGTTAGTGGAGTTATAGTATTCAAATTTACTCATGTTTGCCAGAGAATTAAAGGAATAGTTCATCCAAAAATTAAAATGTACTCACCCTCAGGTCATCCAAGATGTATACGAGTTTGTTTCCTCATCTGAACAATTTGGAGAAATTTAGCATCACATCACTTGCTCATCACCAATTGATCCTCTACAGCAAATGGGTGCCGTCAGAATGAGATTCCAAAAAGCTGATAACAATAATCCATAACTAACAGTTTTAATTTTTTTTCTTTAAAGTCTTAAAGCAAATAATTTTAATCATTGATATGTCCTGAGTTGTGTTCTTATGCAGCACACTATTTGCTTGCATCAATAATCACGAGTGTAATAATACTGTACAGTAGGTAGACAGATAGATGTACTTTATTCACCCTGAGAGGAACATTCAGGTACAATCTGCTTGAAGATGCTGTAATTTTAATACAGTGCAAGCTTTATTCTGTGGCTAAATGTTGCAGCATAAAAATAATGTAGTGGCATAGTATATTGAGAAGAAGGAGCATGTATTTTACAAATGCTCATGACTGCTTTTGGGTAATATGTTATATTTCTGATTATAAAATTCAGATGTTTAAAACATTTCCATTAATGTGCATATATTCATTCACTGAGAGAAACACTAGGTTAAAGAGATAGTTCACCCAAAAATGAAAACTCTGTCAACATTCCACATACTATGGAAGTCAATGGGGACCAGAACCTGTTTAGTTACCCACATTCTTCAAAATATCTGCGTTTGTGTTCAGTAGAAGAAAGAAAGACATACAGGCTTGGAACAACTTTAGGCTGAGTAAAGAAAACATGCAGCATGTAAAACTGAATGTTGTGTAATAAATATAAATATCCACTGGCATTTCATGGACAGTAATCAACATTGAAACTCATATGCAGCCTTGGTTGTCAGAAAAAAATGGCTACTTCTTAAATATCACAGCAAATATTCTTTAACGGAAGTTTTGAGATCACAGTTCAATCAAAATACTGGTAAACAGATAAAACCTCATTGGTGCCCAAAACAATGTTCTAATCAAATAATAACAGACATACAAAGGCTCTAATGCTTTAAAATAAATGAATCAATAAATGCTGAGCAATAGCACATACTATAAGGGTACAGGACGTACAATATGTTAGTTAGTTGTTATATTAGCTTCTCTGAAAGAATTATGTTCTATAAACAGACGTGGCATTAGTGCACTTGAATATACAGAATAAACCATTCTCCAGTGTAAATGTCCTCATGAAGCGGAGTCTGCATTATATTTCGGTTTATAAAATCTTTGCAAAAGAAAGAGTGATGCAAGGTCCATACAGAGCTGTCTGTATTGTAATGCGATGAGCAGCAGGGCTGGGGTTTCTGAGCCATCGTTCTACTGAGTTGTGAAGCAGTCTTGACCATTTTTCCATTCCCGTCTTGCCGTTTTCACAAGCAGTCTCGGCTGAAACCTTTCTACGGTAAGCCCAGTGCAGAGGACAGGTGCAGCAAGCCTCTGACTGTTCAAGCAAATTTCTTCTTGGTTGCAGTGAAGCGTTCCATGTACTGAAAAAACAAAGATTAAAGCAAGTCATTATATGACTATAAAGAAAGAGTATAAAAAACTATTTTAAAATGTCTTTTTAATGTAGATTGGCATTAGGCTCCTAAATCACATGCTTAAGACTGTTTAGAATGTATGCTACGGGTCAAACGTTTGGAATAATTAGGATCTTTTTCATGGTTTTGAAATGCGATCTTGCTTACCAAGGCTGCTTTTTTTTTTTTTCACAAATACAACAAAAACAGATATATTATGAAATATTATTACAATTTAAAATAACTGCTTTTTATTGTTAAATTCTAAAATGTAATTTATTCCTGTTATGGCAAAGCTGAATTTAACAGTGTGTCACATGATCCTTCAGAAATCATTCTAATATGATTATTTGATGCTGAAGAAACATTTCTTATTATTATCATCGATGTTGAAAAAAGTTTTTTTTTCTGCTTAATATTTTTCTGGAAACTGGGTTACACTACCATTTAAAAGTTAGTGTAATTATAAATGATCCGCTCATTTTGGAAAATGAAACCTCTGCTTATAACATGATTGTAATAAACATTTTAATGTGAAAATCAAACTCGCAAAGCTTTCAATTGATGCCCTGTTTACACCTGGAAGTAAGATCTGTTTTGGGTGAACTAATAACAAGTGGACTAACTAGATGTTTAAACTGGGTTCAAAATGTTTTGAGATTTAATCAAACTTCATTCAGAATCAACAACACACACACACACACACAATAACATAACATCTACAGTGTAAACAGCACTGCTTGAAACATTAAAATTGCTCTTAGATTAATAAGGGATTATATTTGGAGGAAATTATATTTGACATTTTTTTCTTTCTCTTTTAATCCCTGGTGTAAATGTGACAAGTGTGAAACAAGAATAAATCTGAATTGAACTGAAGTGAATTGCTCAATTCAGAGCTAGATTTCAACAAAAAAGTATTATCTCTTCGCCGCTTCTAAAATCCTATTACACCTTGCTGAAATGTCTGGTTAGATTTTGGGGGATTTGACTGTTTCAAAAACAAATAATTAGACCAGTTTTGTTTTACATTCAAACTTAAACTGTGGTATTTTCCATCTTGGAAAAACACGTGATGTTTATAGAAGAGGATGAGTCACACAAAACTGACTATTAACACTGGACCTGGAATCTAAACTAAAAAGAAAAACAAAACCATTTTTATGTCTTCTTATAAAAGGCTTTAGAGCTATAAGAGTAGTCTAAACTGACACAAACTTACTTTGTCATATCCTTCTAGGTCACGCAACATTCTAACTTCAAAGAGGTTGCCCTCCACGGACAGCAGGGACACCTGGGAGTCTGAGAGGATGGAGAGGGGGATAGAGGAGATCTCCAGACAGTTCTCCTCCAGCCGTAAGACCTTCAGTCTGGGAGCAAAATACAATGATCATTTATAATTACTTTTTTAATATTTATATTTACATAATAATATTTAATGTTTATATTAAAATTACAATTAAATAAGAAAGATGAACATAAATGAATTAGTGAAGGCCAAAAACTGATTTAAAAATGGGGAAAACGTCAAAGAAACATTGGCCAATATAAATCTTCCCCCAATACTCATTATAAATTCTTATTAGCTATTATGAAAATGTTTGTCGTCAACTTCCCAAAAATGGGCCATTTAGAAATTGTTCACTATGCATCAATTTGACAGGGGATTACTACTTTGACATGCAAAGATGTTAGCCAATCACAACAGAGCTAATTTACATACAAAAGCCTTAAAAAGGCTTAATTCTAAGGGACAAAAAAATTAGCAAAATAATTATATAAAACTATGTTTTGATTGCAAAACAAAAACAAAAATAAAAGTGTAGAAATATAAGTTTATCTTTATGTTGGCCATATTTAGCTATTTGTGTACACTTACTCAGTTTATTGCTGCTTATGGTGAGACTCTTGAGTTGCTGGAAGCCTCCTATGAATGCTGGAAGCACCTCGATTTTGTTGTTGGACAGATCGACTGTCCGCAGGTTTCCGGTGAGTTTCTGCAGCTCCTCTGGGAACTACATAAACAGAGACATGTGAGCTGTTAATAGTCCATGAGGACATCGCTGCTAAGTGCATCAGAGCGGTGAATATGATTACGACAAGCCTATTAGCACCTCTGTCAAACCCTTTCCGGTCAGCTGAGACACCTCTGGAGACAGGGTAGAAATCTGAAACAGAACAAACACAGCACAAAAAGTCACCCTGACACATCTATACCATAGACACATTTCCTAAACGCAATAAACTAAAAAAAAAAACTCACCTGGTTCTGATTGAGGTTGATTTCAATGGCTTGCAGTTCGGCCACCTCTGCAGGAACCACCTGGATCTTATTCTTGGACAGGTTCAGAACATCGAGCTGACGAAGGGTGCAGAGTCCACTAGGAAACTCCTTGAAGCGATTCCCAGACAGGCTCAGGGTCCGCAAAGACTTCAGCTGACCCACCGATGAAGGAAGCTGATTCAACTGGTTCCCATTTAAAATAAGAGTCTCCAGCTTCTTGAGTTTCCCGATGTCATTTGGTAGACTGGCTATACACGTGTAAAAAAAGAAAGAAAAAAAAAAAAACTAATGGAGTGCTTAAGAGTTCATATCATAGAATACAGGCTCCTATGAAATAATATGACTTTGATTTATTATGTAGACACTACAGTAAGAAATGTTTAATGAGCAACAAATCAGCATATTAGAATGATTTCTGAAGGATCATGAGCGCATTGTTCCCCATTTACAGGATATGGATGCTGTCGAATTTGATATCAGGAAATCCACTGGAAGACTAAAATAAAGTTAGATTAAAAAAAAAATAATAATAAAGTTAGTTAGTTACCAAGGTTATTGTGTAGTGACCATTATTTAAAGGGATAGTTCACCCAAAAATAAAAATTCAGTAATTTATTCACCCAAGTTGTGAGTTTCTTTCTTTTGTTGAACATAATAGAAATAATTTAAATAATGCTGGTAACCAAACAGTTGCTGGTAGCCATTGACTTCAAGAATTTCATACAAGTTTGAAACAACATGAGGGTCAGTACATGATGACAGAATATTCATTTTTGGGTGAACTAACCCTTCAACTCTTACCGTGGTTAGATTAATACAAATAGGGTTTCTACAAAATATAACAGAATGCGTCATGAAAAATAGCAACTTAAACACGGTTTAATCCTAAGGGTTGTAATACACATTTATTAGATTCATTCACTGACTCATTCATTCACAAATTATTTAGTAAAAATCTACTTGAACATTTAAGCTAGAGTTATAATAGTTGTTACCATAGTAAAAACATAGTAAATAATATAATCCATATGACGTAATAATTTCTGAGCCAAAAAAACTAGCAAATTTGGAACACTGAACAGCTTTGCAGAGCTAAATATAATCTTTCAGCACTTTAGCGCGAAGTCTAATCAGCGAAGAGCTGTCAACAATCTGAACATGCGCGACTGAAAACCATGTAATTCGGCTTAATATTGCATATTATTTCAGAGTAATATTTACCTTAGCCAGCTAGCTCGACTGGCTATCTGTAAATCCACAGTTTGACAATGTGTACAGCAGGAAAAGTTTACAGAATCCCGTTGGCTGGAGCTAAAGAACCTTCTTTAAGCGCTTATAAATGTGTAAAACAGTAATAACATATTATCAGGTGGTGATCTAAGGAAGGTTGATGTTTGTTTATGTAGAAACAGACAGATGATTGAGGCTCTTGCGTGTAATTGCACCTCCCGTCCGCTGGCTGGCGGTAATAGACAATGTATCCTCCGTTTCATATTCTGTATATCGCCACTTAGTGGCTTGGCTGTGACACGACCATGATTTTTACAATCACTCACAGGAATAAATTACATTTTTAATATATATATTCAATTAAAAAACGTATTTTAAATTGTAATAACATTTCACAATATTACTGTTTATTTAACACTATATTTACTGTATTTTTGATCAAATAAACACAGCATTGTTGAGTATAAGACTTTCAGAGACATTAAAAGTTGTAATTATACTCATTTCACATGCAAAGATGTTAGCCAATCACAACAGAGGTAATTTACATACAAAAGTCTTAAATGTACAGAAGCAAAATGATCCTATTTAATTCTAAGGGACAAAAGAGTGTGAAAAATACCATAAAACTATGTTTTGATTGCAAAAAAAAAACAATACAAAAAAATAAAAATAAAAGGTTAGAATGATAAGTTTGTAAGATGGCCATATTTAGCTATTTGTCAACACTTACTCAGTTTATTGCTGCTTATAGTAAAACTCTTGATTTGCTGGAAGCCTCCTATGAATGCTGGAAGCACCTCGATTTTGTTGTTGGACAGATCGACTGTCCGCAGGTTTCCGGTGAGTTTCTGCAGCTCCTCTGGGAACTACATAATCAAAGACACGTGAGCTGTCAATAATCCACGAGGACATCGCTGTGAAGTGCATTTGTGTGGTGAATATGATTACGACAAGCCTATTAGCACCTCTGTCAAACCCTTTCCGGTCAGCTGAAAGACTCCAGTCTTCTGAGATGTTTCCAAATGAGCTTTGAGCGCACTGTTCCCCATTTACAGGATATGGATGCTGCCGAATTTGATATCAGGAAATCCACTGGAAGACTAAAATAAAGTTAGATTAAAAAAAAAATAATAATAAAGTTAGTTAGTTACCAAGGTTATTGTGTAGTGACCATTATTTAAAGGGATAGTTCACCCAAAAATAAAAATTCAGTAATTTATTCACCCAAGTTGTGAGTTTCTTTCTTTTGTTGAACATAATAGAAATAATTTAAATAATGCTGGTAACCAAACAGTTGCTGGTAGCTGTTGAAACAACATGAGGGTGAGTAAATGATGACAGATTCTTCATTTTTGGGTGAACTCTCACTTAAACGCTTACCGTGGTTAGATTAATACAAATATGGTTTCTATAAAATATAATAGAATGTGTTATGAAAAACAGCAGCTTAAACACGCTCTAACCCTAAGAGTTGTGATACACATTTATTAGATTCATTCACTGACTCAAATTATTTATTTATTTATCATTTACAAATTATTTAGTAAAAACCTACTTGAACATTTAAGCTAAAATCTTATAGTTAAAATAGTTGTTACCATAGAAAATAATACAATCCATATCGCAATTGCGTAATTTCTGAGCTGAAAAAACACATATAACATTGAATAATCTTTCAGCAGTCAAAAATCGGAATATGCGCGACTAAAAACCACGTAAAACGCTCGGCCTAACATTGCATATTATTTCACAGTAACATTTACCTTAGCCAGCTAGCTCGACTAGCTATCTGTAAACACAGTTTGACAATGTGTACAGCAGGAAAAGTTTACAGAATCCCGTTGGCTGGAGCTAAAGAACCTTCTTTAAGCGCTTATAAATGTGTAAAACAGTAATAACATATTATCAGGTGGTGATCTAAGGAAGGTTGATGTTTGTTTATGTAGAAACAGACAGATGATTGAGGCTCTTGCGTGTAATTGCACCTCCCGTCCGCTGGCTGGCGGTAATAGACAATGTATCCTCCGTTTCATATTCTGTATATCGCCACTTAGTGGCTTGGCTGTGACACGACCATGATTTTTACAATCACTGTTACAATACATCTAAATTTGCCATGCATTCATGTCATGCATTATCAATAATTGGTCTCCCTTATAAAACGTCCATAGGGTTGGGGTTACCATATTTAAGTGTACTCCAGCTATTATTAATAGCCTACGTTAAAATAATAATAAATTATCTTATTCATTGCTCTGTTCATAAATAAGATAGCAGGATTGCAAATTTAGACTAAATTAAGTTGTCTACTTATCTTAGATGATATTTCATCAAAATTATCTACTCACAAGAGAAAAAACATGGACTTTGCACATCATATATTTAAAAATTCTATGACACTAAGCTATAGAAAACACTTCAACTGTATGAAGCATTCAGAATAGCTCTGATTTAGTTATGTTCTTTTTGGATGACATTGGTGGCAATGATTGTTGTAGTAACAACAACTAATATTGTCTATAACAGATACTATGGTTACCATAGTGAATGTTTGTCAGGGCTGTACAGTATTGAGTGCCAGAGACCACATCCACGTCCTGACATGTGGTAAAAGATGCAATTGTTGCTATTTAGTTACTTTATTATATAATGACTAGTTTCTCTCTTCTTACTAAAGCATCAGTAAAAAAGAAAATTGCAAAAAGTGTACCTTTAGTTTAAGGTTACCAAAGCTTCATTGTGGCAGTACCCATAAATGTACAACTTTTGACCTTATTTACTTCTAAACGGTTTATAGTAGTAGGCTACCTTATAGGTACATATTACTATTCTAAGATACTAATGCACCTTTTAGGCATGGATAAGGTAAAATTGTTCCCCAGTTTTTCTCCAGTGACAAGCTATTGCACACATAATCATAAATTCATAAAATGTTAATGGTCAATTATTAATTGGTCAAATACAAATATCAAAAAAGTTTTTCAATGTTTTATTACTCTTTTTTTTTACATAAGTGTCTGCTAAATTAATAAACATAAATATATAATAAAACTGTAATTCAGGCACTAGTTTGTCTACAAAATAACTTAAAATATTAAAATTACAATACACATTACAAATTGCAATACACAAGTAAAAGCACAAGTCTCAGCTTCATTGAAGTAATTAAGTATATTGTAACATTGAAACAAACAAGATATTTTAGGAGGTTTTGGTCTGCACACACTTACAGCCCACTATTACTCTCGCAAAAGTTGCACTTAAGCATTTGTTGTCTTCCGTATCCTGTTTCAGCAACAGGGTATTCTGATAAAGATTTAAGAGACAATACTGGTGTATTATAATCTGTGTTTAATGCAACTACTATATTTGATAGAAGTATAGTAGAGCAGAGGCAGTTAACACGGAATGATCTCAGAAGATTGGCTAATGTTCTGGCGAGGTTCTCTCAGGCTGATGAATGATACACGGGGTCACTTTTTGAGCAATGTTGCCATCAACGGGCAAGCAGGTGAGACACAGGGCCCACGACCGATCTAAAATATCCAGATAGAAATTTGTTCCCTATTCTCAATGGGAAACTGTCCAAGAAACATTGCTCGAAAAAGTTTCCCGGCAAAATTGCTCAAAATGTTGCCCCATGTATCATCAGCATCAAAGTTTTGAACAAACGTTCTTCCAGTACTGTAAGCTATCTGGTCTTTAAGGATGTTATCAAAACATTAAACAAAAATTATTTACGCATCATTCATAGAACTCCCCCCCAAATGTTTAGTTTAAACATAAAAAATTTTAACTTTTCTTTGTTGTTGTTGTTGTTTTTAAAACTTGTTTCAAACTGTTCAGAGAAAATTCAAAAGTAACGTTCCTGTATGTTTGCAAAATCATAAAATGGAATGCTCCCTTCACATGCACATAACCAAGAAAAGTATTTCTGTCAGGACCACTGTCGTCAAAGATGATTGACAATTAGCATACAGTTTGGATTGGCGGTATGGTTCTGTTCTGGGCAAGAACTCCCTGCGCCTCCATGCAGCCTAGCATGGATGAGAGCAGGGAGAGCAGCAATAACCCCACAGGGTAAACAGAACAGAACTAAGATAAATGTATTGCAGATATTGTTAAAGTTCAATCATTTTATGTACACATTTTAGAATGAGTCTGATTCAAGGAGAACCAGAAGGCTGAATCCTCACTGACAGAGGAGGAGTTGGGGATGGAGGAGGGCAATTAGCTATTGAGCAATGCGAAAACTGCTGATACTACTGCGGGACCTTATATATGAA